GACTAAAGAAGTTTTACCGCACACCTCTACTTACTTGTCTCATTATGTCTGGATTATTCAGCATGTGACTGATCTCTGGATTTCGTTGAATCAACTGTTGCATCTGGGGGTTTGCCATAATTAACTGCCTCATCAGGTCCGGGTTTGACAGCATGCTCTGTACAAAGGGGTTTTCCATGATCTGAGCCATCATTTCTGGGTTGGACATCAACTGCCTCTGCATCTGGCTCTGCAGCTCAGAGAAGTTGGCAGTGTTCATTCCTAATCCACTTAGGCCTGCCAGTCCTCCAAAGCCCCCTGAAACACACACAAACCCACTTTCAGTACAAATGACAACATAAGGAGAGGCTAAGAACATCGTCATCAGTAGTAGTCCTGAGGGATGATGCTGAGATTGTTCCCCGCACAATGTCAGAGTGAAATCTGAGTACCTAGAATAAGCTCAGCATGCAGAAACAATTTATTTGAAGTGCACTTCTCTTACCCATCTAAATGGCACGAGTACAACTTTTACTCCCTTATTTTTAATGTTTCATGTGTATATATCAGACTGACAGTATTACCTTAAAGAGGAGGCATCTGTTTTGAAATGTTTGCCCAAAAAATATATATTAGTTTGAAGATGCATTAGGTTTCAAAAAAGTAATAAAAGTAAGCTACTTGCTCTCTGCCATTCACTGCTGAAAGGCTCACCTTAACTCCCATCTCCATCAATCTTATCACACATCAAAGCCACATGCTACCCTTCGCATTACATCCTAAATATAGTTTCTGGTAAGTTGGCATCATGTATCAGCACAGTTCATGTGGCAAATGAGCTTCTTCTTTCCGTCAACTGAAGCCTATTGAGCATGAATGTTACATATTGTATCTGAAAATGTACAAAAATGCTTAATCAAATATTCAAGTACTGTTTTCCCAGCACTAAAATTTACACAATCCGTATCATATCAGAGTAGTACGGAGCACAGCACTCTAGAAGATGTAGGTCTGCTTTATATTCCCAAGAGTCACATTAATTCTCAGATAAAACATTTTTTGTATAGCTCTGTTTTCCTTTTTGGCTGCTTCCTCGGTGGCTCTATTTACTTGCACCCAAGTGGTTGTTGTTATTTGATTTCTGATTTTTTGGTTGACAGGGAATGCTTTCATGAAATGGCTTAGAACCACTGGTCGAGATGAAAGGTTTCAGGCAAATGTATGCTGAATGAAAATGAATAAAGTACTTCTCTGTGCATGCATGCACACATACAACGCTTACCACTATGGCAAAAAAATAAGAACAGGATTTTCTATCATGATCTTCTTGGTCAGGAGTGTCTTGTCAAATACATTTAATTTTGAGGGGTAACAGTAAAGAAAACAATGAAAAGAACAGCAATCGCTGGTGACCATACTGACCAAAGCGTTACGATTATTTTCTTAAAAACCCAGTGACAAAACGCAAATATGCATCTGAAAGAAAATATGTAAAGAAAAAGATACAGTTGGCTGCATTTATTTCCAAACGTTCGCTTTTGGAACTAGATGACAACAGGTTAATTTACAAAGTCGCAAGCCATTTCTCCTTTAGAAACAACAACAGTTTACCGTTGCAAAGAGCAGTCAGCAGCCATCTCTGCAGGCTGTTTTGTTAAGCCATCAGAGGTTGAAAATGCAAGTTGATGTGTAGGCTGAAAAAAGTCATCATTCTGGTTTGCTACCTGGCAACGTCAAAACATATCAAAAAGAGGGAAAGTAAAGATTGTTCATTAGTGTGGTAAATACCGTACAGGCTGCTGTTGTGAAATGTGAAACGTCATAAATTGTTAACAGCAGGCATACTATAAAGCCCACCTCCATTTTGCCATGTTTGCTCCTGTAAGTATTTGAATAGCACAATACATTAAACCTAATTTAAAGTTACTTAAGATTTCATTTAATTTAATTCTCCTCATTTTATAAATTAATTGACATAAATGGTGGAATTTTTAAAGTAACCTTTTTAGTACAAATGTCACCAGCCTCCCTCCAGGAACTTTCACTGAAACGGAAAAAGAAGACTGCTCCTGTGAATTAATTATTATTGTGGTCAAGATAAAGTTAAACAAATAATGACCCAGCTAGGCATGAATTCAGCAGTTTCCAACATGGTCAACTGCATGAACAAGACCGATTCAGACCTAAAACAGACCATAGAGCAAACCCTTCTGCTGTTTGTTCAAGTGGACCACTTGAACTTGAACTTGAACTTTGAACTTTATTGCCATATGTAACCGGTACTGGTACAATGGAATTCTTACTTACAGAAAGTCTCTCGTTTGTAAAACAAGTGTAAAAAACAAAACGAGGGACTACATGAGAATTACTATCCTATTTTTTGCGTCAGGTGAACAAGATAAAATGTTGTTTTTTTCCCAGGAATTGGACAGTTAATTGGTTAAAGACATTTTTTGAAACTTTCAGAAAAGCAATCAACCGAGCTGTCAACTGCGAGATGAATTGATACAGTACTCAAGCCATCATAGGGTCACATTCTGATGTTTGCACATCATTTTTCACTTTTAAACAATCAGTTATAAACTAAAAAAATACATCAAGCATAAGATTCTTAAAGTCAAAGTCCATTCTCAGCAACTTCTCTGGATAGTTCTGTAAGGTTGTTATTTAACCCCATAGGATATGTAAATCTCCTATGTAAAAACAACAGTACAAAAAGTGAAAAGGCACTGAAGGTACTGTATTTGGTGTTACACAATGCTGCCTTAACCCATACAATTCTAAGAGTTATGTAAGATAGATTCTTTTGGCTGTATTAGAAGAATTTCACTTTTGCATTTTAACTGATCTGGTCTTAACACCATTAAAAAACTATTGAAGCTTTTTCCCCCCAGTTTAAACAACACTGTCTGTGTGTAAGCCTTCATTATTCTGAAAAATATTTCTGGGCATATTAGCTACTGGGTGCGAGGCCTGATACTGAAACTTTCTGTACAACCACGAGTTGGAAGGCCAGTGAATGGAGCCCGTTTATTCTTGTACTGTATTCTGTATATAGCACAAGCTTTAAGAATACCTGTATAATTGCCATTAATGGTTATAAGACTTTCAGCACCAGCTGTGTAATGCTTTGAAGGTAGATGCAGAGCAGCCTTTCTTACCAAGACTTAAAGGATTGCTGGAGGCTGGTGTTGTAGTAGCTGTAGTTGTGCTGCTAGACTCAGTGGAGACTCCTGCACTACTGCTAGACGAGCTGCTGGATGACTGGGCTGCTTGGTCCTGTGACCTTAAAATAAAAAAAAAGGAAAAGGAAATTAAATTTCTCCTTTATTTCCATCTAGTTAAGAAATACAGTGCCAAAAAATTAATAAACCCCTTAGGATTTTTACATATTTCACACATTTGATCCTAAAATGCTAAAATCTGATTAGATTTTAATCTTAGTCCTAATAATAGATCAAGTTAATCTGATAGGACAAATGACACACAACATGTTTCAACATTTATTTAGGCTCCAATGATACAACATTCACTATCAATATATGTGTGACAAACAATGCGGACCTCTATATTCAGAAACTGGTGGCTCCCCCTTGAGCAGCAATAACTGCAATTGAATATTTCCTGTAATTCCTAATCAGTCTCTTTCATCGGTTTTGAGGAATTGTGGCCCATTCCTCTTTACAGAATTCCTTCATCTCTGGGCCATTGGACTTGCCTCAGATCCTGCCACATCTCTGTGGGGTTTTATGTCAGGAATTTGACTAGAGCGCAAGGCAGGGTACACCCTGGACAGAGCGTCAGCCCATCGCAGGGCAAGTGCAAGCCAATCATACATGGGGACAATTTGGAGGCCACGGTAAAGGCCGAGAGGAAAAATTTGGCCCAGATGCCAGGATAATTCCCTACTTATTATCAAGAAATGCCCGAGGATCTTTAAAGACCACTGAGAGTCAGGACCTCAGTTTAACGTCTCATCCAAAAGACGACACCCACTACAGTATAGTGTCCCCGCCACTATACTGGGGCATTAGGACCCACACAGACCATAGGGTTGAGCCTGGTCAGTACCAGTGGTGGGTTAGTTACAGGTGCACTAGGCCATTGTAGAACCTGGAAATTTTTCTTCTGCAGCCATTTCATTCCAGACCCAATTTCGGTTTGGTTCAGGTCACAGACAGTTGGCCTGATATTCTCCTCTGGAGTCTTCTGATGTAATGCACAATTCATGGTTGTGTCAATGATGGAAAGCAATCCAAGTCCTGAGGCAGCAAAGCAGACCCAAATCCCATCACTATGCTTGATGGTTGGGATGAGGTTCTACTGTTCGAAAGCACTATTTTGATTACCTTTAACTCGTCTGTCAAAAGAACATTGTTCCAGAGGCCTTGTCGATCATCAATATGTTTATTGGTGAGCTTTCGACAGGCAGCAATGCTCTTTTAGAGAGCAGTGGTTTTCTTCGTGTTATCCTTCCATGAACAACATTCTTGTTCAGTTGTTTCCTCATAGCTGAGTCATGAACAGTCACATTAGCCAAGAGTGGCTTGCATTTCCTTGGATGTTCTCTTGGGTTCTTTGTAACTTGCTTGATGATTTTCCGTTTGTTCTGGGAGAGATTTTGGTAGGATGATCATTCCCGAGTTGAGTTAATGTGGTCTTAAACTTTCTTCACTAATAGATTGTCCAACAGTGGATTGGTGGATCCCCAGTTCCCTAGACACGGTTGTGTACCTGTTTGTGGACATCAATAAGTCTTTCTGGGTCCTCAGAGATTTTGTGGTATGAATTGTTTTCACACACCAAACTCAGCCCCCAATATCTACTTATTTATTTAAAACACCTGATTTCTTGAATTATTCCCTTAACTGAGGTTTTGAAATGAGGGGATTCACTTCCTTGTTTACATCCCCCAAATGTTATACTATTAAACCCTATTCGATATTTACATAAAGACTAGTTTTGATGCAAGAAGCTACCAAAAACTATGAAATCTCCATATTTATCTTTCATAAACTTTTTTGGCACTGTAAATCAAGCTAATAATTCTCATACACTCATACACAGTTATATTAGTTAGGCCCTATTTATACACACAATTACATTCTCCTAACTGCTACTTCTTCCTGTTTTGGTCTTTTTAAAAATGGATTAAAATTTCCATAGTTTATGTCGTTTTTAGCATCATGTAATTATATTTGTTAGAATTCTTATTGGATCTTGTGAAATATTTTCATAAGGACTCTTCATTGGCCCCCTATTACAGTACAAAGCACTAATGAAATAAAGCCAACCAAATACCAAGAGTGATTAGCGAGCTTACCTGCTCTGTGTTTTGATAACAAGGTGAACAGTCAACCCATCATGGATACCATGCTGGGTAAGCAGATCCTGATCTTTCAAGATTTTACCAGCAAATATCAGAACCAGTTGCTCTGTCTGTGCCTTGAAACGCTTTGATATTTCTTCTTTGAACTGAAAAGAACAGACAAACTATGTTAGTTATGAAAAGAATCAACTACACCCCTGTGCCAAAACTGTTAAAATATAACTATTTCTTACAAGGAAAACAATACAGATCTTCCTCTTTCATTACCATTGGTGCTTGAAATAGACAGCAATACATTGAAGTACAAACTCAATGAATACATAAATTTAAAAAATGCAAACTTTATTAATTGTTAATTACTGAGAACAATACTTGACAATGATATTTTAGAATGAGTAACTTTTACATAATTTAGTTATTTTCCTTTGCCTCTTCATGTGTACAGGTTCAAACTGTTGGATTTAAATTTTGTTTGAGACAGAACATTAACATCTCAAATAGTTTTAGAGATATGGTCATCTTAATTGGTAATTATGGAGCTTTTTTGCCAGATATCTACACATATTTATTAACCTTCATCCCTATTGAGGGTGGCACAGTTGTGCTTTGGTTGCACTGCTGCCTGGACTGCTATCACGATGGAGTTTGTATGTTCTCCGTGTTTTTGCATGGGTGCTCCAGTTTCCTCTCACAGTCCAAAGACACACTGTTTGGTAATCTGGCTTCTGGGAAAACTGGCCCTGGTGTTAGTGTGTGCATTGGTGTCAGTGTTGGCCCTGCAATGGGCTGGTGTCCCATCTTGCTTTTTGGGCTCTGTCTCCTCCATATCTCTGTACTGCATAAAGCAATTCTTCACAAATCTTTTCCCAATACATTTTCATAACTTTCTATGATCAAACAATTTGTACGATTTGCCAGCTGTTTCACACAATTCCTTCATGTTTGTACTCACATCACATTTGACTTGTAACCGGGGGGGCTGCTAAAAATAATAAACATTAATTTTCCATGTATATTCTCTCCATGAAGGTAAACTAGCAGTTTTTTGCCGATTTAAACATGTCTTCCTTTTCCTCAATTACTATGCAAGTGCCAACCTCCATTTCCCATTTGGATCTTACTCTTATCGCTTGTATTCTGCCTGCATATAGTTTATATACCTGGCTTTTAAATCTTTTCTTAGAGATCTATATCTTTCATTGTTACACTCAGGCTCAAACTGTCTTTAAGATAAGTTCTGACCTGTATATATCTACCAAAATGAGAGTTAGCAAGGCCCGAATTCTCGACCAAGCATTCAAATGCTACAATACCATCTTTGTCAATTAGCTGGGAGTATAACCATAAGGCCCCCCAATGACCATTCCTTGATACCCATCTATTTTACTGGGTATACAATCAGGGTCTACTACTTCTCTAGAATGTATCACACCCTTCTTTAGTTTTTTTTCAAAATACAAGTTATTTATTGTTTAACGTAATCCACAATGTAATGTAATCCAGCTGTTATTCATTTTCTTAATGCCTAGAGATATATTAGATGTAAAATGTTTTAAGTGAGATGGCTACTTCACCAGGCTACTTTAAGAAATGTTTCTATCTAACCTTTGAAGAAGATGCACCGCCATATAGTTATGTTACATTCAGCCATAAATCACAGTGATGCCTACGTGTCATGCCTACTCTCGTTGTTTAAAACCAGATTTTTTGGACTTCCTCATTGATTTATAATTGATGGCTAACTCATCGATTACAATATATCAAGTTCAGACTGCCATGAAGTGCATCTTTCAGGATGGAAGGCCTGTCTTTGTATGCATCACATTCTCCAAAATGTCAATTTTCATTTTTATGTCCATTCTCCATTTTGGAAAATCAGCTAGACAGCAATAGTAGTGAGAGGAGTTGCCTCCAGCAGTTGCTGAAATGAAGCGTGCACAGCAATCATCATGAACTTGACACATTGGTGTGTGGTACAAATGCATACTAAATAGGTGCCACTTGCTCCAGCAAGCACACACTCTCTTGCTTTATCTTTAAAACTCACCTATACCTCCTGTAAATTGCACAGTATAAGGATTCTCTGAATATATGCCCTACCTAAATAAAATCATAGATTAATTAATATTATTTGCTGACAGAATTCCATTCATTCCCTTCTTCCTGTGCAATTCCAGAACAAGCAGCAGCCAAATTCATCAACTTAATGGCAGTGCTGATGAAACAGCATTGTTAGTGAAATTCAAGGTGGAACTGTCAGAAGACTGTCTTATGACAGACAGGAAACCTCTTTTAATTCCTCTATGCCACCTTGACTGATGCACTAAAAATGTTAAGATAAACACACAACTATCCAAAAAGGTCCAGTTCTCCCAAAGAGAAAATCTTCAGTCTTATCTTTTCCATGCGGCTTAAAATAAACCTATGTATAAAAACATTTCTCAATTTAATTAAACCAAGAACACAAACAAATTTACTGTGATCTTGTTTTGGAGTATTTCACAAATTCACATTAAAGATAGCCTGAATGGAAAAACAGATGTCATGTTCTGTGTAGGATAAATTAAATCTAACATTATAAAACATTGCAAGGAATCATCAGAAACGTATGGCACAACGTATACCACAGCCTGGTTAAAATCCAACTTTAAAAGTTAATTTCACAACTGAATGCACTCTTTCTCAGCATGGTTTCATAAAAATAAAAGCCCCACAGACACCAGTAGAAATGGCTGAAACCTGGCATAGGAGGATCTGTTGGTTTTCTTTCAAAAAACGCAGATTAAAATAACTGACCTAATCTGTGCATCTCCAGCCAACGTCTAATGCAAATTAATATTTTCAGGTGCTTAAAAAAATAGCAAGTCTCTAAAACCTGTGATTTGGCAGTAGCAAGAATAACCTACATACATTAGGGCCTACAGAATTAAAAAGACAGGAACAACCATCACAAGTTGGTATTTTCTAGAAAATAAATCTGACAAGAAATGCAACTTTTTTCAAGAAAGTATCCCTCACCTTTTACCCTTTGCGCCAGTTTAATATGGGCTCTTCACTCTTCATTTTGCCACTTTTGCTCACCCATCTACAAATTTCTGATGCCAAATCAGACAATCTTCTACATCTTCAAAGGTTTGTGTGTGTTTTACTCATATTCCCAGGTAACAGTTAAGTTACATGCAGCGGTCTATACAGGAAGGAGAGGCCAGGAAAAAGCGATTCACATCACTGAGATTGCAAACTGAAACCTCAGAAGCAAAACAGCCCAACATACATTTCTGAAAATTGCGCAGAAACGTAGGTTTCTGGTGCGATACAAGAGATTCGAGTTCATGCCACAGCACTGCAGTAACCTGCTCTGAAGAAACTCCCTTGGTATTCACCCAGCAGACCGTGTGTGCAGAGGGGTGGGGAAGACAGATGTGCTATCGTCGCCGACTATCTGATTTAACTAATATCACTGTTACTGATAGAGATCACCTTGATCAAGATACGACTGTCCTGATTCTAGAGGTGAGACTGAGCTTAATGATTAACAGTATCTCGAAGAGGCTCACCTGCTTGATGGTGCTGTCTTCAGGCACGGCGAACTCCTCTTTCTCCTTAGGAGTTTTGACTGTCACTTTGATGATTTTGGCATCAGAGGAGGGTCCTGGGGTCTCTCCACTGTCCGCCATGTCGGCTTTAGTTTTTCGTTTGAATCCCTGTTGGTTTTCAGCTGACGACAAAAACAAAATGATAAGTGAGAAATCTAAATCGTGCAATCTAAAATTAAATGTCTGCGAAACTGATCACTTCAACTTATTGCTTCCTGATTGTAACCTAGTCTAGAGCATCATGGGTAAAATAAATTCCAGCAACTGTACCCAGCTATTTTAGGAAACTCCAAGAATTTCTTATTTCTTACAAAGCAAAGTCGTGAATTTTGTAAAAGACCGCAAATAAAAATACTTGAGAATGTAAATACATCGGCTTTATTGTGTCTGTTTGACTTGCTGGACGATGACGTTGCCATTTGGGGAAGTTACTAGAAAGGGGAAGGCCAATTCCCCCAACGAAAACGTAAACTGCGCATGTGTGACCTTTGACTTCGATTGTAGGTTTATGCTGCAGTACTACAGAAAGCAGATAAAGGATACAGAAAAAAAAAGAAAAAAAAGATAGAGGATACAGGTCGTGTGGTTTAAAGAATCACAGTTGTTCAGTAAATATGTTTTCACCGTTTCACCGTGAAACTTCACGAATCTATATTATGTATTCTCGAAAATCCAGAACAATCATTTATTTTGGAAAAAAAGTTAATTCCCAAGAAGTAATAACGTCTCATAAAAATTAACTACGCATTATATAATAACAATACTGAATTGTATCATTTGTAAAATTCTGGGTAGAAAAAATACATAATGGACTGTTTGGGGGCAAAATTAATATTACAAAATACAGTATTTCAATTGATGAATGCCTTAGCTACTTTATTATGAAGTTAAAATGAGGAACATAACATTTTAAAAGTATAAACTAAACCACGTTGTCGTGTAGTTTCCAAATTTTTCCTATATAGAAATATTAATTTAATGATACCTGTAGAGGTGGTTATGGACCAGAAATTGACATTTGATTGCTTTAAATTAAAGTTAATAATTTGCCAGATCAGACATTTTAAAAATCTTTTACGGTTTCTCTTTAAAACAATTGGACATTTCACAATTGTAGTAAAATTCCGCAAGCTGGAACAGTTATAATAAAGCTCCAATTAAGCAATTCAGGTGCTCAGTTAAGAAAGAATGTGACTGGGAAGCCATCAATGAGAACTCTAAGCTCTGAGATGACAATCACTGATGTAAACAGTTGCTTCATTCTTTTTTTAATTCAATGTTTAGTTTTTATCCCAGAGTTTAATTTTTTCCTACTGTCAACCTTAATTTACTAATCCTCCTTTTAAAATGTAAAAAAAACTGGAACTAAGACATTCATCTAAATACATCCTGTAAAATAACTAGGCAGAATGAAAGGTGTTAAAAAGAGAAAGTAGCAAAAATATATTTTTTACAGGAAATTTGACATTGATTGAAATATAAATTTACTGCTAACGTACTTTTGTAAAATTTTGGGTAGAAAGAAATCATAAAATGGGCTGAATTCAAATTCAAAAACCTGTATTTCTTAACTGATGAATGCCTTACCTACCTCTTTATGAAATTAAAATTTGGAAATTAACATTTTATAAACCACACCACGCTGTTGCATGACAAAACTGAAATCTGTACAGCTTTGACCATTTAAATACAATTGTAATATGTACAGTAAGGCAAGCAATCACAGTTAGCTGCAAAGTTAAGCGTAAAAGGGATGAGACGTGATTTTGCCCAATCTACAGTCATCAACCAGTACATGGAAGTACTATGATGGGTCTACCGAAGTCAATGATTTAGGAGCTAGAAGAAAACACCGATGTTGGACCAAGTTTATTTATGGACCTGTATTTGATCCTATTAATCCTATTTATTTCAAAATACAATAAAAGAAGGACTAGATCCTTGTAAGGGTGACAGGGAGAGCAGAGATTGAGGAAGACCTGTGCTACATAATCCTTATTTGTATTTTTGGGGTTTTATATTAATTGTGTGAAGTTCAAGCTAAGAAGAAATAAAACACTTTACTGGAACCCAACATCATGTGGGATTTAATCCCCACATGAGATGCAGGTCTGAATTTTGTAATGTCTGTTACTTGTTCTTTCAAGGGATAAAATGTTTTCTGCATAACTGTATAGTATCAACCATGAAGGTCCGGAAACAAAAAAAACACATTAAAGTCATTATAAATAACATTCCTACAACAGCTATGGCAGTTATATTGTTAAAGAATACTAAATAAGCCTCAAGAATTTTCATAAAAATGTGGTAGGCATTTTGCAATAATGCTTAAACGCATGTATCTTTAAGTGGTCATTAATTTGGACATCACAGTGGTTATGCATGAATATGGGTATTTTGACGTTTGACAGATCGTGTTAGCCATTACACCTGTGAATGTGTATTTAACATCGCTCAAAAATAGGCAAGGAATGTAAGCACAATGGCCTGCAACTGCATGTACTGCAAGGAATAAATCCAATTAAGTCTCCAAGCACATGTGGATTGTGTTGCACTGCAGTGAAGGATAATGGTGGGGCTCTGACACTGTCCATTTATTGTGAAGCAAGCTTGCTTGTGAGGTATCTGCATACCTGAATGGGATTCCATACTGTTTGAACTTTGGAGAACAACCTCCTTGAATGACAGCTATTTAATTCAAAATGCTCTTCAAATAGGAATGTGTTTCATCAAACTCTCAGGCTCAGGGTTGGTTGAAATGTATTTTCCCTATCAGGGCCTGCACAGTACTCCCAACTTTATAAAGCGCCTCTTCAGAAACATAGTAGTTCAGGTGGGTAGCTGTGTCAGCATGCGTAGGCTGCCTCTTCAGAAACATGCCTCTGCTGTCCTGAATGCAGGAATGCAGGAATAACCCAAAAATACTGCAGCCATAAATATGTGCACTAAATATGCATTGTCACGATGCAACAGTCATTAAAGCCAACAGCTGCCACAACAAATTATGTACTTGATAAGTATCAACTTGGTATACAGGTACTGTTTGAAGAGGGTGTATAATGTTCACTGTATATCAGTTCTTTTTCAGAGGAAAGTGTGTATGCCTGTAAACCACAAATTAAATTTAGGACAATTATTCCACATTTCCAACCTTAATTAGATGTACACACATCATTGAAAAGAAGCAGCAAAAAATAGACATGATCCTTAAAAAGAGATCTGTCCTTGCATTGCATATTTTATTTTACTCGACCACAAAGCAAATGACAGGAAGCAACACTGAATTTTTGTAAAGTTAGAAACTTTTATTAGTATAAGATTTAATTAACAAAAAAACAACTTGCAGAAAGAGGAAAAACAGCTGGAGTTTTCTGATTATGGGGTCTAACTCAACTAATCCTGGTACATACCCACCTAGAGGTACAGGTAAGCTTGAGGTTAAACCCACTACACCACTAATAAAATGTTAAGAAAACATGTTCCAACAGTTTAACCAAGGTAACAGTTTAGAAACTGCAATAATACTTATTTTTTTCCAATAAGACACCATCAGTAAAGGCTAGTTTAAAAGTTTCTGAATAAACCTGAAGAAAAGGTCTGGGAAAAATATTCACTTTATTCAAGGAATAACTTTACCCCTTCCATTTAAATACCAGGGTTTAATATTTCAAGCAAATAACATCCCAGAAATTAAATGCTGCAATTACAGTTTGAAAGTGAAGTACAATTTTTTAGTGATATCACCCTGTAGAGATTTTTTTTTTTGCTGTGTATTCCCTCATTGGTCTTCAAATATCAGATTCAGACTTTTTACCTTTCTTGTTTCCCTGAAAAAAAAAAACAGCAAGTCACTATGCAAATAAAAATAAAGATTAAAAAATCAAAGAGTACAATGCATTCCCCAGATGTCCACTTTCTCATTCTAAATGCTGTAAAACCCAACACATTTACCACTATCCACTGAGGACAGAGAATAGGAAAGGTATCTTTACAGTTATGGGTTATCAGAAACAAGCTTCCCTACCAGGATCTTGAAGACAAACTTGAAAGCAACAGCTGAGTGAAATTTTAGATTCACTTTCCTTTCCAAATGGTCTTCTTGTTTGCTTCCAATCCAATATTTAAATTAACTGAATGGACATTTCATAAAATAAAACATTCTAAGAAGATATTTTTGGATGTACGACTTAAATCTAAGTAATTATAATTATTCAAATAAGGATTTGGAACTGGGCTTTACATTAAATTTGCCCAAACTAATACAGCACTATTCAGCTGTGAAATGCAAAATTCATACAAAATTAGAAACAGGTGATTAAATATTTTGGATTTTACATTGTGAATAACTGAGGAAAAATAAATCAGTAATTCAAAAAATAACTCTGAGAAAACAGTGAAAACCCTCAGATTTGTGAATAGCTGGGCTAATAGAAATATCTTTCCAATGAGATATTTTCTCACACAAAACAAAATGCATGGGCCTTTCAAGGGATTAATGCTCTAAGAATACATTCTGCCACCAAATAAGAGGAAAGCTATTTTTGTGAGAAATTAATTTAACATTTAAGATTCTGTTTATTATTGACTTCAGGATTAATGGCTTTCCACGTTTCTATAAATGCTACATTTAAATTTCACTGTCATAATTAAAACAGTGACCAAGAAACACTGCTTTCCCATGGAAATGGATGACATATCTGATGAAATACAAAAAACACACACCATCATGTCTACTGAAATCTTGAAACATTTTCAGAATGTTTTCGGCTAAATGTTCTCCAGTATCATCAGTCTGGGCTATGACAATCTGAAAAGCAGAGGCCTCTTGCCATGAATATCCTTCTAAGGCTTAGTACTTTTGTACCACTTCTCTATGTGTGTGTAAAATTACTCAATCAGTTGAATTTATGCATTATGGACCAAATGCACTTCACAGATTGTAAGCCACTTACACATCCACACACTTCTACCATCACATCACAAGGTAGTATTTCCCTCATGATTAAATGATGATGGCTGGTGCCTAGGACATATCTGCACTGCCACTTGGACCTTACTCTCAGGAATGAAGTTGCAATGTGAGAGAGCTTCCTTCATCGGGCCAAACAGGAAATCAAACAGTTTGAGATATGAACTGTAAGGTGGGAGGTAAAACAGTTCAGAACCCAGATCCTCAATGCAGTGCACTGCAATTTAATGCCCTGATGTACTCTTCACCATGTGCGGACAGGCAGTGGCACAAAGCAGAGTGATAATGCAGTCTTCCAATTCTTAAAAACACTTTCCAGCAAACTCTGTCTTCAGTAAATTAGAGGCTGAACTATAGATTAAGATTAGCTTCATTTATGACTGGGTCAAATCCTCTTTAGTGATAAATCAAGGTTTTGTGTTGACTACCCTGACAGACATCAGCAAATATTATGTAGATATGCAGAACATGACACTAATTGTTGTGTACAACAGAACAATTGACAGGGAAGTCCAAATGTGATTGTCTGGCAGGAGTTTCTAGTTGTTACAGGACTTCGGTTGTAGCAATGGCAGCCTGACTGCACAGCGCTACATCGATAAAGTCTGGGGTGTTCACATCCTATCCTTTCTGTGGGGCCCATCCTTATGTAACAGCATTTCAACAGGACAACACATGTCCTTATGGTACGTGTATAGTGGCTTTCCTGCAAAATGGAAATGTAACACACTGTGGATGCTCTACTCATCAAAACTGAGCCCCAAAGAATATCTGTGGGGTGAGTTTGCCCGGGCTAAAAAATGACAGAATCTTACAAGACATCATCTGTAATCTGATCCAAAGCATGCATTACAGATGAAAGCTTGTATTGCTTTCAAAAGTGGCCAAAAATGCTACCACCTTGTGATTTTCACTGTAGGCCCCTTGTTGATTAACCGTATTAATAGCAAGATGATCAGTAGATTCATTTTTCTATATTATAACGCTTTGATAAAATGTCAGTGTACTTTCTAGAGAAAGACTGCCACTTTCCTAATTATTTTTTTTAATTTGTTGCAGTTAAATGTAATGTTTCTTTTGAAACTCAATATATATACAGAGAAGCAATAAAGTACTTAAAGTATATTAGAGTAAATACATTGCTTGGTTCTGTTTATCATGCAATGGAAACAACCACAGCCATAGTGGTCACTGTATGATCTTGGGTCACTGATCCCCTGGATATGACTGCCCTGTCACATGCCTGAAGACAACAAAGCATGAACTATCAGACCTTTAGCATATGCTTGAGGGAGAGATACCCACTTGCTTCAGGGCCTGCAACAACTGTCATAGTCGACAAGTGCAGTTACTGTTTAATACAATGAATCAACTCAATTTTGTTCAAATAACAACCAATATAAAACTTGTGTTCTAAGAAATACCTGTTTAACGCTGTGTGTGTGGAGGCAAATTTCGGTGGAATGATGGGCAGTGATATATACCATACAAGTTCTGAAATGTCCCTGTACCAGGGCACACAGTACCAGGACATGGACAATCACTAATTACCAGCTTAGTCTTAAAAATAATAAAAGGCTGCTGAGAGGATATTAAGATAATGTGCAGCCAACTACTGCATTTCTGAATTCACAATCTCAAATTACTCAATAAACTCAATAAACAGCATTTCTGTAAGTTGAGAAACACAAGAATAAAATATATTACCTGATGGTGCTTTGGCTGTTCAGACTGTAATCCCTTTACTTTTGACTTTTCTTGTTCAAGGGCTGCATGCAATGAAGTCACCTATAACAAAGGCCAAAAAAGATACACACTCATTTATCCCACAGGTAATTAAACCCAAAAGTCTGTTCTTTCCAGTTTTAAAGCAGTGGGGTTTTCTCCAGTTATCTTGAACCTCAGAGTGAATTACACAGAAGAATAAAGCAACTTGATCTTAAAGATGACCAATACATTGTGATCTTTTTTGCATCAATCCTGATAATCTTCTCACAAAATAGATATTGCCCTAATTTAGTGCTTTAAAAGTCACAATGAGATGAAAAAAATGAAACATTAACTCTTAATTGCATTAAATGAAATGCAATACTTAACAACAACCTAATAAAGCAGAACCTAGAGCCTGAATAGCCTCCTGTTGTTTGAATATCTTATATTGTTCTTATATTGTTTTACAGACCAAAACATTCTTAAAGAAAAGCCAAGTCTGTTTAACACACCTGTGATGATAGCTCTTCCTTAATATTCATCAGCTCTTCAACTTGCAATAATATTTCTGCTTTGTCCTTCACTAGAACAAAATAAGATCAGTCTAAAACATGCAGTAAAAAAACATGCAATATTAAGAAAACAATGCAGATCCTTGATAACACACCTATTATGTCAAACATTTTATAAAGATTTGAGATTGGTTTATAATAATTCACTAAACATTATGAATAAAGTAATTTTATTACAATAAAAATATTTATAGGATATGAAGGGTAAAGAGGCAAGACAGGCCTAAGGGTCAAAAATACAGAACTAGTTTAAAACCATTTACTCAAAATACTGTTGTGACTCATAAAACTAATCTCTTCATTTGCAGTAATACTTTTGCTAACTTGACTAAAGCTGTATACAATTGGAAAGTGTAATGTCAGATAAAGGCATGGATAATGATAGAAACTTGCATGTTATCACAGACTTTTCTGGCACCCAAATCCTTAGAATTTCATTCCTATCTACACTGACAGTACATTGTTTACTAGACATCAAAAGATCCCTAATTATAATAACATGAATTGTATATTTAACAGTAGGGAATTTGGAGCCAATAGTGTTTCTACTGTTTAGACTATTTAAGTAAAGTACACTTGGCTTATCAATAGGTTATGTTCCAAAGTCCCGTTCAAAACCCAAGTAATTTTTAAGTTGAAACAATTTGATTGAAAGTGATAGAGACTTTCATTTTTAAGGTTATTGTCCTTCTTTTTATGATATGACACAACTTTGTAACCTTTCCTCTTCTCAGCTATTTTTATGGCTATTAACACTCAGCCAGAAAATCACAGATCAAAAGCTGGATGTTATTAACATTAGCAAAACTATGCTGTCACTGAGCAAATGACTCACTGTACACAGTAGCCTTGAGCCACATCCCCCAGCGATACCAGTGAGGGAGCCTTAGTTCCGCCAAATTCTTCATTCTTATGGGAATACGTTTTCAAGTACGGATGTTCATATACCAACTGTTTGTACCTCGAGGACTGGGTGCATATAGATTCACACCTTTTTTACAATTGAATTTCTGTGTTGTTTATTTCTACTATAACCCTTTACAAAAATGGTTACACAAATCAAAGGAAATCAACACAGTGTATTGTTGGAGACACAGTATTACACACAGTACTTACTTTCCCCCTGTTGAAGCATCTTCAAAAGTTGTGCATTTCTTGCTTTCACTTCTTTATATTTGACCTGAAACCATTCAAATCTAGTATTAGGCTTGCCTGCCCAGGAAAAACTGTACAATATAAATCCAACTACATGATGATGCATAACAGCAACTATATTTTGAAAAAAAGAACCATCTTAAATCAAGATGCTCTCTTTGTGATTTTTATTTTGTTTCTACATTTACAGTAGACTACTTTGCTAGAAATACTGGAGAATTCCTCAAGATACCACAACAAAAAACATCTAACTTACAGTCAACAAAGAACTAACATGAAACAAAACATGATGACACCTGACTGTTTCATCAGATGAAAAGAAAAGTTGTTTGTTCTGCTTTATTTTGTTGTTCGCTTAAGCAAGAACAAACATACATATTGGCAGTAGTACAGAAGGCTACAACAAAGCCTTGATATTAATAAAATACCAATGCAGATTAAAGAAACTATCAAAATATTTAATCTAAAATTAAATAAAGTGTCCAGTAATCACAGCTGTCACAGCTGAAGCACACTGAATGACAACACGGGGAACATTTGTGAATTTACATACCTCCCACTGTGAGATAATCTTCTTTAATTTTTCTATTTCCAAGTCTTTCTTTTCCAGTTCATACTTAAGCTGTTCAGCTCTTACATCCTAAAAGGAAGTTTTATATTAGTTTTTCAGAACAGCACTAAATTGAGTCTTCATTTTTAGACTAAAAAGTTTAACACTAATGATGCACTGTGTGTAAATATGTCTTCAATTTGAAACACCAAGGAGAGTTAAAAAAAACACCTGTCTATTGCAAATACACCAGTTTATGCTGGATACTTAAAAATAATAATCAAATCACACTATCCTGAACATATCAACACACATAAATGCATTGCCTTTGATGAAGTATTCTCTATTCATAAAACAAAAATAAGTACAAAATATTTTTGTATTTCTAAATGTCAAAAATGTAAACAGTAGGGCAGTATACAGCGTATATACACCGTATTGCTCACTTATTCTCTCCAGTTACTGAACAAGATATGCTGACAATATTATTTGCAGCAGAAAAGAAAAATACATAGCGTACAATAACCATAACTATAGTATTTTAAATAATTTCAATAAGTAACGCTAAAAATGTAGCTAATAACATTTTAAAGAGAGGTACTTCATTGATGAACGCCCAAAACACAAAAGACTTAAAATATTTAATACCAGTAATTAAATATTACCATGTTCAGTCATGGTCGTGCTTAGAAATCTGATGATTTTTGGTATGCGAGGACTGCTTGAACTAAATGTAAATCAAATCTGGTCTTTCATAGCAAATTAAGTTTAGACGCCCTTAGTCCAGTCTATCAGTCCTTATATAAGTAGGTCAACTAAACTGTGTAAGGAGTTACATGACAGCTATTTATTATGTGTGACTGTCATTTTAATTTGTTTTACTGCATGACTGCAATTAAAACTAACACAATTTAAAAAAATTAAAAAGTCTTGGCATAATGTTATACCATAACATAATTAAACCTACATTAAGAAGCAAGTCACTCTTCCTACAAAAAGTCACATTTAACTAAAATCTACTTGTACATGTTTTTTTTTAAATCTAAAATACTGTAAATATGGTTTACACTGACCAATTCTTGCTCAACAGACGCAGTGATTTCAGTGCCACTAGTGCTGGTGAACTGCTCCCTTCTCTTCTCTTTAAGTAATATTTTACTGACATCATCTTCCAGTTTGTTGAAGAATTTGTCATCATGGACTACTGGGTTGACAGACTTTGATTCCTGTGAAAAGTCAGAAGAGGCAGCAAAGGACAACATTCATCACTCAAGCAAGTAATGCGAATGAACATCAAACTTTCCCAGAAGAAAAAAGGAAAAACCTAAGGTATAGTGAAAAAAACAAAACCCTTCTTGACTTAAGTTAGGCTGATTTGTGTACATGTAGATAGTGTGCAAATCTAACATAATGTGAATGATTTCAGAAGGCCGAAATACATTGGTTCTTTATACTTTTCTAATGTGAATTTAACAATTAAAGTTTATTTGCATACACAGTCTGTTTCAGCCCCATACCAATACTTACAAAACCAAAACTGTACATTAGGTACAGTTTTATTACAGTCAAACATATCATACTTACTTCTTGCTTCTTATTAAGATGATCTGAAAGAAAAGAAAGTATACATTTGTTTTTATTCTGGGAATGTATGGATATACAAAAGAAAAGACTTAAAAAGCATCTCCCACACTTACCTATATGTGTTTCTGTTTGGAAGTCTTTTAAGGACACAGTGAGTGGTTTGTCTTTACCCTGCTGATTTTTTCTTTTATCTTTCTTCCCTGCACCTTTGGACTTCGGTGAGGTTGTCTCCGCTGTTTCATAATCCTGAAATAATTTTAAAAAGTCAGACTTTTATATCTCAGACGTGTAAGATGAGTCCTACTGTATGTTACTCATTCCATAATTCTATATCTAATTTGCTGTACAACTATTGGAGATCAGAGATCTTCAATAAGGTAAAATATCTCTTAATCCCCCAGAAACCTACAGATGCAGTATTATGACTCATTGAACACAAAAAAATACAGAAGCAAACAAGCCCATTCTTCTTTCATTTAAAATAAAAAGCAGTAACATTCTGCATTAACTGTAAACTGCACTGGGCAGTGCAGGGCACTATAACTGTCCAGAACAACTCTACTTAGCAACAAAGTGAAGCTCAGAAATGACAAATAATTGGAATTATTTAAGGGTTGGCTGCTATCTATAAACCTACTTTCCTACAGCATTAAAACAGCATACTTTAAATATATATGATTACAATGTAATAAAGATCACAACTTAGTTTAACTGAGTAGAAGCATATGCCACATTAATAATTATAGACAGCATGTTGAGAAATCATTCATAATTCTAAGTTTTAAATGGGCAAGGAGTCATATGAACAACCAATAACTTCCTAGAGCTGTTAAACGTAGCACTTAACATCACTGATGTAATAAAGTACTACAGTCCACTATTTGCTAGGATATTATCCAATAATTGAGTCCATTACCACAAGCACAGTACCTGTTTATGCTCTTCATATTCCAGTTTGCTTAAAATTAAGGCCTTTTCCAGATCTGCTTCATAAAGATCACTTGTTAACTACAAGTTTAAAAGAGGATAACAGATTAACAAGGTGGAAAAGATTCTTAAACCCTTCCAAGAAGTAAACATTACATGGACGCATTAATTAAAAAAAAACTTTTTAACACTTCAGTTACATACAGTGTACAGTATACAGCAACAATGCAAACATCTTAAATATAAACCTAACTATTAACTAAACTATAAGGAGAAATAACAAAATGCCACTTAAGTGTGTCAGGTACAGTAATCTTTTTCTTTGCTCAAATAGTGGAAAAATGGTGAATGATGTCACTAAAACTGAACAGCTGTTTTTTTGTGTAAAACCCAAGACCTCCTTTGTGGTTCAGAGCTGTGCATTGACCCTATGGGCCATCGACAGATACTGTGTGGGTAAGAGATGACGAAGGGGTTCAGCGCAGGAGACTGAAGGAGTTCCAGACAGAGAGGAAGTGAAGGAGGACCTCTACCTGTTCATCCCTTTGTTTCCACTGCTGCCAGCCGGCCTCGGGGGCCTGCTGCTCTGAAGAGCTGTGGATGAGGTCAGCAGCAATGTTCTGCAGACTGACCGTGGATGCTGGCACAGAGGACTTCTGGGGGAGCTTTTTGAAAGCGAGGCTTCTCAGCTGTCCAGATATAACACAGCACATCAGCCTCTTACTGAGCGTTAACAAGGAAAGCCATAAATGAAGAAAACAGTTATAAAAAGAGTTTAAAATCCCCACGCAGGAGTGTGGCTCATGGTAAACAGGAGAAAACTTCCATCCACCCATTTTCAGTCTACCTTTAATGTTGAGAGTCTGTGCCAAACAGAAAGTTAATGACCCAATATGAATTATATATTTAAACACATAACATTATTAAATAACATATTCAGAAAACCTAATCCTTGTCATGTGAAACCATCAGAGTTATACTACCTAAGGTAATGTCCACTGTTATGTGGTGCCTATGACTTTCTTTCTGTGCTCTTATGGCATTCTTCCAACACCTTTTAAATGGGCTGAGATACAGGAGTTTGGTCATGGAAAGGACTGGCAAGTATTACGGAACGCTGCTTTAATCGAACGTGAACATATAGGTTTATTTCTAATGGCTAGTTTTGCAAACAAGCGTGTTATTTTAGCAAGATTTTGGGCTATTACTTAGGCTTTGAACGCAGAATTCAAAAACCATAACAGCATCTAAACTAAGGCAGACTGAAGGTATGGAATCTCTGCTATTGATTAACATGCACTTTCTCAGCTCTGGAGTAATATTACAGGGGGCAGAAAATGTATCCCGACAGGCAGCCAGCTGCACCACGTAACCCAAACACTGTATGGCCTTCTAAAATGAAAACCTATTTCAGGATACCATCATATACAATGTATTGCATATCAAGACTTCCCTTGCTCTGCAATTCCAGAAATCCATAAACAGCTTGTTCTGTAAAGATCTCGTGGAAACAAAACGTATAAGCTAAAGATGCAGACCGCACCAAATGTTGTCGTGTTACAGGAAATAAAAGTCTCTGAAGTTTTGTCGTGCTGTTTTAAGTTTCACAATGGAAAACAAAAACAGCTGCTCATGATATAGCAAACGAGAACTCCGGCGTCTCTGACGGCTGTACCTCATTGGCTTCACTCTGCTGCTGCCCTTTTTTCTTCTTCTTTTTGTCCTTCTTCTTCTCGCTGCTGCTGCTGCTGCTGGACTTGCCCCCGGCTGACTTGCCGGAGCGGGACTTGCCTGCTTCCCGGCCAGCCTTGCCCTTCCCGGGCTCCGAATCCGAGTCGCTGTCACTGTCCACCTGCAGCAGGGCGAAGCGGGAGGCAGTGGTGGGCACGGACGACAGCACGGCGGAGGCCATCTCTGGAGCACCTGCGAACAATTCCACAGTCACAGCCAATGCCAACCAACGCCGAGAGGGTGCGGAGATTTATTCTATTTATTCGCGACAGGCAGTATGTGGCGACTTCACAGCACCATTAGAAAAACACTATATGGATTGTATCTCCACTGATATGCTAGTCTTATCCCACCAATAAAGGTACTTTTGAATGGAATCGCTTTATTCCCAGAAACACAGTATTTGTGACTTAAAAAAGCTTATTTGGCTAAATTAGCACAAAAAAAACGAAGCTCAGAGTCAAAGTTTATGGCAAAGTCACTCATTAGTGAAATCGGCACATATAAAGGACAGAGTGTAGCTCTACTACACAATTGTTTGATCAATTGAAATTCTTTATAAAATGATTTGATAAAATCACTACACCACAGGATGTGCAAAATTCTATTTCTATTCTATTTATTCCCTGATATTTTCTAACCACTTTATCCAAAAAGGGTTGTGGGGGAGCAGGAGCCTATCCTGGCACGCAACAGGTGTGAGGCAGGACACAACCCGGACAGGACAGCAGCCCATCGCAGGGCCTATTTTCCCCTGACACCTTTTAACCTACCAGTATGTCTTTGGACTGTGGGAGGAAACTCCACACAGACTGCACAGATCCCAGTGCTGCACAGCAACAATGCTAACCACTGCACCACCATGCCACCCAAATTCACAGTAAAACTAAGTGTAAATGTAATATTCATTACTGAACTTGCAGTACAGATTACCACTAAGAACATTTACAGTACCAACATTCAACCTGTGAACCGTGTACTGAATGGAAAAAGGAGACTACTGTAGAAAGACAAAAACTAAACCATGATGCCTCCTTAATGGAAATTATCAAGCTCTGAAGGAAAACAGAATCTTCATGAAGTCCGCTATTAAAAAATAAATATAAGAGGCTGGCATGTTTTCATGCGTTTTACTATAAGCTCCTACCATGAAATTGGGATTATTCAGGGTGAAAGGCGCTACATAAACGAAATGAACAGAAACATAAAAGGTTATATATATCGTTTCTCTTTATGAGAAGCATGCCTTCACAACCCTTATCGCATACGCATAGAAATAATGCTTATGTAACTATATATCTACTGTATACATATGTTTATAGAATGCCAGTAGTAACAGTTGAATACTCACACAAGCCTACCGTACAGTATTCGCCAAGTTTCGTTATTTTTTAAACCAAATTCCTGGCTAGTGAATCGTTTTGTAGCTTCACAAAGCAATATGATTTTAAAGCGACCGAGGGTTACATTTATTATAGGAGCACGTTCAAAAATCTTGAAAATATTTTAACCCCGTTTAGATCGTTTACCAAACGAAAGCTTCAACTTGCAGTTTACAGATATACCAACAAAAACAGAATGTAAAAAATCCTGAACTTGCCAATACAAATTCTCACGACGAAAGATTCGGCAAAACTTAGAAAATTCGGTAAAGTGAACCGAAAATCTAACGGCTTTACTCCCCCTTCGCTTTTTTCCAAAAGTAAAGCCAAACAGATTTTTCAAATACGTACAAAAAATCCACTGACCACACAAAACAGACCGTTAAAAACTCAATAAACATGATTCTGAATTACACGAACCAACCAAAGTAAACGTGTAAGATTGATAATTAAAAGCAATTTCTGAACCTGTTTGAGTGTCTTCTGCAGTCTCACGTCACTTCACAACAAAACCCCTGAGCTACGGTGGCCCGGAAGTAAAAAAAGAAAAAAGGGTTAGTTTGACGCTGAGGTGAGGGTGAGGTTGGGTTCAAGGGCTGCATTGTTCTCTCGGTTGATAGCCAGCGCCGATATTTCATAGCGTAGTTTTATGTTCGATTTGGAACAAAATAATTGCTGAAATAAAAGGATGAAGGATAAATATATTTTTAACAGCAGAACTGAACAAAGTAGACTGTTTAACACTCGAACCTGATAGTGTGATAGTATAATATTCATTATAATACTGCAGCTAATATATCCCAGATGCTGTGTATCTGCAGTTTACGTGGAATACACCCACATTCATTTTCTTTTACATTTTATTACAATGGAAGAACAGCAATTATTCCATCTTCCAGTCTGCCTACCTCGATATACCTGTCTCTAATTTCATGGGAATAACATTCAACTACATCACATGAAACCTTGTCTCTTCATAAACTTTTATTGGTGAAAATACGGTTTGCTGTATTTCTGTATCCTGTATGTTAATTACAACAAAACAGTCAAGACACTGTAGAGTAGAACAAAAGGAAAAATGGGGAAAGATATGAGAAGAAGAGAGCAAAAGATAAGCATTCTTTTATAGCACTGCCAGTTTTGATACCTTTCATAGCTATGACACTAGTCAGTTTAAGTTAATCAACATACTGTATATAAGACTGGGCTGCAATGCTGCTTAAGAAACCTTTCTCAGAACTTGAAATCAAAAGTGATACAGTATATTGATCATCCATCTGACCCAAACCTTCTAGTTTCTCTTGATGTACATCAGACATTGGAATCTGTCATTTCCAATGAGTCATGACTCCAAAGAGCACAGCCCATGTTCTCTGCTTTTTTTTCACTTTTCCCCATCTCCCACCATTACAGTATTCTAACTTTACTTCCCTGCTGCATTGTACTGTATTAATATTATCCACATGGTCTGTGCTACCTCTTTCACTCCTAGGTTGCATCAGTTCAGGCAACATTCACTTACCTTTCTTCAATGTATTTCAGTCTTTATCTCCAAATCCATGTTCTATTTCTAGATCATTATTACTTCATCATTATTTATAATGCAAAAGATCACAATCCTAAAGATTTTCAGAGCCAGAGGCCAAGCAGTGGTCTTGGTCTTCGCAACCTTCAGTTTTATTCTTGGGCCATATAATATCCATAACATGGTATGTACGTTCTCAGCATGAACGACCTGAATTGGTAATTCAAAGGAAGATAAATCTTTAAATTTTCATTGTTTTAGGTTTACCACTGGATGTTCTCCATCTTGGTTCAGCACTGATCCCTAGCTTATTCACTGTATTCAAAGCAGGATTCAGTTTCAAAGGTGCTTTGGTCTCTGCCATTTCCTCCTTCCCTTTTGGATGAAACTTTTAACATCTTCCACAGAAATGTTAGACATGATGTTTTATAGACCTTTATATTAGAGGTACCTTTTTAATCAGATTCTTTCTTGATTTCCTTGATCAATTTCTAATTTTAATCAGCATTGCCAAAAATGTACCTTATCATACATTTTCATTCTTATCTCCAGATGTATTTCTCTGCATGAAATCAATTCTACACTTTCCCAGACATGCCACCTGATTCTATACTTCATCTTCAGTAGAAATGTCTCAAAAAACTATTACACTATTCTCCCCAGGCTTTGTCCACCTTTATCCTCAATAAAGGAAAATGCCTGGGAATAGGACATAATGATTCCTATGCCCATGGCAGATTCCTCATCAGTCTGTGCTCAGCATGTCTTAATACAATTCCAAATTGTCCATCTGTTAAAATCCAGATTAGGTAAAATATACCCAATGTGAACCCCACTTTAGACTGGTATTATAAAAAAAAACTAACATTAGTCATATGAGCATATTCATATACTCTTTCTTTTAAAACTAAGTTTTGATTGTGCAACAGTTGCAAAGTGCATTGTATTTTATCATAAGTGTATTGCAAGTAAACATTCAGAAGGACACGGAATTTCAACAACTTTGTGCTTGATTTTTGCAATATCATTTGAAGTTGTAACTAACAAATTTTGTCTTACTTTGAGTTATATGTATCTGTTAAATTTTAATCACTGTGAAAGAAAAGGCTTGTTGTAAGTACATTTTATACATAATTATGTTCTATGCTGAAGTTTTGATTTGCCAATTGGTATGATATAGACAATTCCCACATTCCTGGTTAAGCATCTTTCTTAACTTTTTAACATTAAAAGAAACATCTTCCTAATTTACAAAATCTCTACTTTGAAGCACAAATTCAGAAAGAAGCAAAGAAAATTGCTATTGCTGCTTTGACAATAGATTACAAAACCAACCATTTAGTGACTGAAGTAACAATGAAGACTGAAGCCTTACTTACTGTGTACTATGCTTTCCTTTGGCTAATGATTTACACATATTATATAATAGTCCCCTGAGTAATAGTAGTATTCTTAATGTCAGCTGATGGCTTGGATTTGTCAAAACATCCCAATACTTTAACTGCTTTACAATCACAAGGACACTGTGCAGTTAGGAAGAACATGTCAAGGTGAAATATTTTCATTTACAAGCTTAGTGTTGAGAGTATCAACAGTTCTGTAATCATACACCGATTTGTGATGCCACTATATTCTATCTTGAAGAACATAAAGTGTAAGAGGGCATATTGTGTCCACTCCCTTTCTCAGCGTGCTCCATAGTAAAAGAAAACAACTATAACCAGTCTTGACTCATTCATTTAATAACACCGTTTGCAAACGAAGAGTATGTTCTTATACTAGCTATTGGTCCTTGTATTCATTTTCTGTATTTTAAATATCTCCCTATGTATATACACAGTGTCCTCCAAAAGTATTGGGACAAGAGTTCAAATTAGCCCATTATAGCTGTATGCTCAGGAAATTTGGATTTCAAATCACAAGATGAATATGGGACAAAAGCAGAGAATACCCCCTTTTAACTATGTGTATTTTTATGCATAAATGTTTCACCATTATACAACAACAGCACTTTTTTGTTCAACTCCCCACATTTTAGATGAGCATAAATATTGAGACAAACAGGTTTACAGGTGTTTCTAATTGCCAAGGGGTTACACGTTGCATACATGTCACACAGACATAAACGAGCTGTGAAGGTATAGGCACGGTTGAGGTCTTTTGAAACTGCTTCTGAAGTCTTTTACATGAATTAGTCAGCAAAAACTAACATGAAGACAAAAGAACTCACTATGACAGAATAGAATGTCATTTTGGAAATGAGAGGAAAGAAAATGACCCTCAGAGAAATTTGTAAGACTCTTGGCATTGCAAATGTTCTTCAAAGTTCTTAGGCAGAGAAACAGGGCATCCAAAAAAGACTAATGCAGTGGATGAAAGAATGATTTTCTAAGTGTAAATTAAACCCCCAAAATTACTGTTAGTGAAATCAAAAATAATCTCCAGAGTGTGGGGATGCAAATCTTGAGTACCACAATCTGCAGAAGAGTTCACCAAGAAAAATTCAGAGGCTGCACTGCAAGGTGTAAGTCCCTCACCAGCAGCATAAACAAAAGGGATTGATTGAAATTTGTAAAAACAAATACTGAGATGAGCAACAAGAGTACTGGAACAAGGTTTTAAGGACAGATGAAACCAAAATAAACATCCATCAAAAGTGATGAAAAGGCTAAAGCCTGGAGAAAAACAGGAACAGCCAATGCATACCACTTCTTCAGTAAAGCATGGTGGAGGGAGTATCATGACGTGGGCATGAACAGGACAGGCTCAATGGTCTTTATTGATATCTTAATTGAAGATGGCAACAGCAAGATGAATTCAGAGATCGACAAACAGATCTTTTCTGCAAATGTAAGAAAAAATGGCACCAGACTTATTGGGCTGCAGTTCATTATGCAGCAGGACAATGGCCCAAACATACAATATGCTTAACAGAGGAGTTCTTCAGACAGAAAAAGAGGAACATTTTAAACTGGCCATGTCAATCAACAGATCTGAATCCAATTGAGCATTGCATTTCATTTTTTCAAAAGGAGACTGAAGGCAGAAAGCTTGACCAACAAGCAACAATTGGAGCCTGCAGTTAAAGGCTGGAAAAGCATCTCAAGTGAAGAAACAAAGAATCTGGTGATGTCAATGGGACAGAAGCTTCATGCAGTTATTGCAAGCAAAGGATTTGCAATAAAATAGACTTTTTCACTGCTTTAATTTGCTTTAAGTAAAGTGTCCCAGTAATTATGGTCACCTAAACTTTGGGGGACTGAACACAACATGCTTTGGTTGAAAAATCATTATTTGCAAAACATATCCTAAAAATAATAGACAATCTTTCTAACTCGGACACAGAATAATTTGTTTAATGCTCAATTAAATGTAATATACAACAGGGAAATTAGAGGTTTTTGTCCAAATACTTTGGAGGGCACTGTATAACCTGACCTAATACAAGACACAAAGGAACCCTAAATGAAAGTGTGCAAAATATGTTGCAATGGATTAAGAAAGGATATTTGCAAAAAAATACTAGAAGCTTCAGCATTCATCTTTACATTCCTGGTTTTCGAACAGCATATCAGCAATGTCCAATTATTCATGTGAACATACACAAGGATTCTGCATTCACAGAGAAAAGCACATTTATCTAGGCATTCTGCTTATTCAACTTGTACATCCCTTTACATACCTATCCAAAAACATTGAAATAAAAAGTTCATGTTATGCCCACTGTAGTAGCTTATGTTTTAAAGTGTAAATTCCTAGCATAAAAGCAATATATTACTCTCTTCAAAAACATTTTATTTACATAAAAAATAATAATTTTTAAATCATGTAAGAAATTGTATCTGAAAGGTTAAAACATCTTATTTCTAAACAATATAGTACATTACCAAATTTAATATCAGTAAAGTACTAAAAGAATAAGTACAAGACATATAAATGAGTCAATTCACAACATTACACATGAACACAATAAGCAATATAAAGGGAACATTCTTAAATACTTAAAAAATTATATTTGTCTTCCAAGCCATAAGAGAAGTGGATGATTGATGATGGAAAAATCCTGGAACTTGCTAAATATTTGAAAAACACAAATGGCAAATGAAGAGTACAAGCAAACAAAGACACAAAATCCAACAACTTGACAAAACTACATACATGATTGTTAAAAAAAACATCTAGTGCCTTTAAACAAATAACAGTTCTAGACTGGCAATACACTGCTTTACCTTTGAAGTTACTACCTTAATGGTCCTTTTATGTCTCTTTAAAGACTTAGTCCCAGTGCCATGTTTAGCTGTCACATACTGTATACAGACCATTAAATTATGTTCAATACACTTAGTGCGATTAATTCTAAAGGTGAAAACTCAGACTATTTTGTAGTTATACTTATATAAGAAACTATTAATACCTTATACTAACACCCAGGTCCCAAAGTGCTTATAATCTTCAGCTTTTGTAATGCGGGTGCCTCTCTTATCTGGAATATGAAACTGCATAAATATGATTAAGATGTTTGAACCTCCAACGTGCTACAGACTGTGTCATGACTTAAAAGTCTTCCTTGCTTTGGAATGCTTCTATAGAGTCTTCTTGGATGGAAGTGGCACTTACTCCAAGACTGAAGCGTCTAACAGGCAGGTCAGATGCAGAAATCTGCCTCAACTCTCTTCTTGACACTTTCACAGGAGTTAACTCAGGAAACTGAATCCCACTTTTGCTTGTCTGTGGGGCTGCTGAATTTGGGACATCATAGCCTACTGATGGTTCCTCATTATTCGTTACTCGTTGCCTGCTCTGAAATACGGAAGGAGCATTGGCTATTTGTTCTAACTCATCCCAACATCCACTGATCTTCTGTGACCGGCCACTAGTTACAGGACTATCACTGCACCCTTTTGAGCTCCTATTTTCTCTGCTGCTCTCAGACACGGAAGTCCATTTGTAATCTTCTGGCACAAGACATTTGTCTTGGCCATCTGCATTACCTGTTGAAGACAATATTAAAAGAAATTGGTGATGCATGAAGGTTTTAGAGATACTGTACATTTTTCCTCAAAAACGAATGTTATACTTAAATCATAATTTTACTAGAAATCTTAAGAGTTATAAAATACATATTATAGTATACCATTTTATAAGGTGAAGTAGGTGACAATGGAGGTGTCTAATAAGCTTGATAAAGTGTATAACACCTGGAAGTGAACACATTTCCATCTTCAAAGAAGTGGGATGTCTGCTGAGATGTGGGGGCCCCTGAGTCTGTGATCAGAACAATCACAAAGTTTACTTTGGATTACCTTGGTTAATTAAGTTCTAGGTAAATGATTAAGTGTCAATCAATGGTCCAGAAAATAGGACAAATAAGATCACATCAGGAGAAGGAAAGAGGAAAGAAAAGGGAAAAAGAAGGTCAGGCCATGAGAGAGAGGAGTGAGGAGGAGTTCTCAGGAGGAGAAGCAAGAGTCCCTGCTTCATTTTCATCCAAAAAACAGATTGGAGCTAACTGTTTGAATCTTGATAGAATAGTTTTCTATTCTCTAACTTTTAGAGGACTTGGGAGTTTCCCCGAGTAAAGAGAATCCCTCAGTTTAATACTGCCTCTCCTGCTAGTGGGTGGATTTAAAATAGGGAGATTTATTATCCATTTATTTTATGGCATATAGGTTACTGAGAGAGATTTAACTGCAGGTTGTATTGCATTTAGTCAAGTCCTTGGTACTGTACGGGGGGGTTTCTGGGTGGACTAGACATAGGACTCTGAAGCCACTTGTCTGTAAACTTGTGTGTTGTATGTTTATGTTGTGTGTAGTGAAGTGAGTGTCACTGTCATTGTTAATAAATATTTAACATAGTGTGCGTGGATTATTATCCTTTTCACCAAACCTGTTCCAGTTAATAATAAATAAATGCCTCTACCTATAACAACAGCTCGGGTATGTTCTGGGAGAACGCACTTATAGGCTGGGGGTTATGATCATTTATTTTATTATTGACTAATCTGCCTGGTCAGTTCCTGATTTTCTCTATATTTGGTAACAATATGTTGTTTCAAAGGTTCAGACTTTAACTGGGAGGATAATCCTTGTAGCATTAAAAAAGTAACCTCTACCTTTTCAGTTAATTGCAGTGCGGGGAATCCGAGCTCTAGCTATATTATTTCATTCCAATTTAAATCAAAATATTTCAAATTAGACACTGCTTCTCAGCAAGGGTGGTCACACCTGGCATCTTGCAGTGCAGTTTTTTTTTTTTACATTTACTCAAGACGTACTTCTTAATGACTGATTTTATATGAAAATTTAATATTTAAAGAATAATGAAGAACTAATCAATATTGTTTTCAGAAATGAGCAGCAATGCTGTAATGATCTGAAGTAAATCTTTGCTTTCTTCCGTGAGGCCTACCTTTTCTAAAAGCAGGCTGCTGGTTAAGGGAATCTGCTACCAACTCTTTCAGCTTCTTTTTCAGGTCTCGGCTCGTCTTCTTGTAGAAAAAAAGGTCCTTCTCCAGCTGCTGGATTTTAGCTTCGTAGGTTTTAATATTTTCAACAAAACACTCCCCTCTACCTTCTGTAAAAGACAGAATACAATTCTGAGCAGAGTAATGGCAAAATGATCAAGTGGTTACTGGACTGCGCATTTAATGGCAGCTAATACAATTCACAAATACTGAATATGCACACATAAACTGATTTGCATAGTGAAGATAACTGGATATAGATTTCTGTCTAAATGTTATAACCATACATTTTACAATATAAATCCCAGTTATTTTTCTCATACCAAACATATAAATTATATTTCAAAAATGTATTTGTATTACATTATTATTTTGAAGGAGAAGTAGAAAAATTTGACAAATTCTAATACTCCAAATCATTAAATATTCAGGACTGAAAAATACAATAAACTACAACCTATATCATGAGACAGTACTAGATAATGATGGTTAAAACTCAGCTCACTGAATAATGAAAGGTCGATGCTGTTAAAAGGTATTTTACAGAAACACAAAACACAAGTTAACATACATCACACAGCTTGGCTATTCCAAGATTAGTTTATATAGGGCTTGGGCTTTAATAACCCCTAAAACACACAAAGACGTAATTAAATGGATCTCATTATTAAAGTTCAGGAGAAGATAAATACCAGCAATTCCCTGCCTACAATTCCCCACCACTGACCCTACTCCCATTGGAGCAACTGTCATCTTCAATCTAAGCGGATGTCATAATAGAACAAAATTTTACATATAGTAAACTGGTCTTTGAATCTCAGTTTTACCTCTTCAACTGCCATAGGGAGCCTCAGCAACAGAGAAAGGCGGAAAGATTTTAAATATACTGAGAGGCATAAAAAACATAAATTCTATTAATCCCAATATTTATTAGCTGCAATTTTAATGTTTTTCATTAAAAAAATGCTCAAAGTGTTTTTCCAATCTTACATTGGCACACAAAATGTCAAGAAACTGGAAAAAGTCTCACGTAACAGTTAACCGTTCAATACTATAGAATGTAATTATACTGTCAACTGTCAGTCTTTGGGACACGGTGAGTTGGCTACCTCTGAACTCCTGCAGTAGTAACTGCATCTTGTGCTCGTGCTCTCTTTGCTGAAGGGTGAGCCGTCTATCCATCTCCAGCGTGAGCCGCTCCACAGCTGACTCCAGATTGCGCACTACGCCTTCCTCCTCTTCAAGGTGCATTCTCATCTCCTCACACTGCAGCTGTAGCTTCCGCTCTGACTCACGGAGACCCACCACCTGAGGGAGGACATCTGTGCGTGTGAGGCCACTTTACTGTAGGCACGAAGTGTGTCAATCAGCTCAAAACACTCTCAAACGTTTAGACAAAATGCTCAGTACTGCCGAATCTAGCCCGACCGACATGACAAGACAAGAGAAAGAACATTACTTCAAAAGGGAACTCTGCAATATAAAATAATGAGGACTGGTCAAGGTTTTATGTGATTGGGTCTTCAATCCAGTACTGTATGTGGAAACAGGATTTTTTAATTGTTGAGGCTTAATATTCTCCCATGCTATTTTAGCATTGTAAACAATATAAATTAATGTAATTGGTTCAATATGTCCATGAGCTGTTATCATAAGTTGCTGTTGTAGATTGTCAAACTCTCTATGCTTCTTTATTCCAGACTATCTCCAAATAACCATTTTTAAACAGACATTGATATAATCTTCTAATTATTAAAGTAAATTTCTCAAGAAGGACTTCTGTGAACTTTTGTTTTTTAGTCTTGGCCTACTTTCTGCTTCCAAGACATTTGGAAATTGATTCTGTGACATTTCCATTTCAGATGTTTTCTGCACTCCCTTTTGCTGCTTTATTTTGGAAAGTATCGAAGAAAGTACCATGGCAACTGATGATTTAATCCAAGGACTGATTTTTTTTCTTTTTCAGGATGGCAGCTGCACAATAAAGATGTCTTTGGCTGACAAAGAATACTTGCCACTTTACGAACTGTGTAAAGGATCATTTGCATTTGTAGATGTTCAAGACCAGTAAAACCATTGTGCAACACAGAAGGAAGGATTTTATTTACACCCTTTTCCCAAGGGTTTTGGGAAAGGACTACATCTGCCATAGAACTACATTTTGTTTTGTTTTTTTAATAGAGAAGCCGAAGAGGGTAGAGGAGAAACATGAATATTACAAATCAAAGTAAGGAGATTCATGATCATGATCATGTATTCATAACTGCTCTTTAAAAAAAGTGTGCTCTGGGAGGAACATTTTTTAAAAGTTAAGATTTTATAACAATAATATGTCCACAAGACAAAACATTTAAACTTTCACCTACTTCATTGTATGCATGCATGAGATAATTTTGGTGATAGCAGACATAGACTAGTTTTGTCCCTGTGACATGGAGGTGAAAGCTTGCAGTGCATTTTTCTATTCAACTAAATGTAAGCAAGAATTTCCCATTTAGGTGCATAGAAAATTTGTGGAAACAGATAATACACTTAGGTTGGGTTACAATGTAGCTATACAAGATGCCAAAGGAGGAAAATAGTTAAAAATTAAGACAAGCCTGAGAGCTTGAACACTCATTTTAAGCCTCAAACTTTAATCTTTTTTTTTCCACATTTGATGAGATTATCAAAAACACTAAGAATGGGCACTTAAATCATAATGATTAATCAATAATAGGGAAAAGTGACCTATGAAATATTATTTGAAACTTTAACTTCTAATAGGAAACAGAAAGTGAGAAAACATCTGGGAAAGAGAGAGTTGAAATGCTGTGAAGTGTCTATGGTATAACATGTCAATGGTACCATGAACTGCATATTTGTAAAAGACTGATATAATTGCACTCTTCTGTGTTGTACACAGTTAGGTGGTAGATTGTGGCTGAATAATTTGTTTTATAACATGATAAAATAAGCCTAAACACAGAGACAGATACACAATAAAGTACTTATACCATAAAGAAAAACAGGATAACTGTACAAGATAGGAGAATAAGAACAAATAATGCAACTTGAATAACATGCTCTGGGAGGAAATGTGGACTAAATCGACCAAAAAAAACAGCATCTAATGATTACATTGTGTAAATGAATGACGAGCATTTATGCAACTTTGACATACAGTAGACAAAAGCCGGTGAGACACATTCCATCAATTTTCTTTTGAGATTATTAATAAATTTCCATTTAACAAATAGGATATATGCAGTATACACTAGTATCCAAATAGTTAAGATGATAATCCTAAATTAACTGTGTTTTAATTCAGAACAAACCTTGTTGAAGTACTTGAATAGTAAAATCTTGATCTCAATGAAGGAAAGAGTGCTCAGTTTATCCATGACTCCTTCTTTGCTGCTAATCAGTGGTTCAGTGGAAGTCCTGAGTGATTGCTGTCTGCTATCAATGGTGTCATTTTTATACTCTATTGCAGCATCCAGAGCCTCTACCCATTCTTCTAACTGGAAAAGGAGACGTTCCTCCTGAAAAACAAATCAGAAAATGCAAATAAACCCGCTTGTTTGTAATTCTAACACTTTAAAATCCAAGAAACATTTGTATTGAATTTACGTTTTCAGAGCCACTCAACACCTGCTTTTCTATGGACAAACTGAAAGATGGATAAAAGAGGGAAAATCTTGGTTAAGTTAGACATAATGCATTATCTGAAAAGGAAAATGGTTATTTTCAATGAAGGCTGAACTTAACAGAGTTGAACTTAAAACTCTAAAGTTTTCTAAATTAGACTTTTTATCAATGGGACTAAGAGGTACTACATTATTTAACCAATAGCATCGGCTGTATTTTTAATGTGTGTCTATATGATATGCTGGAAAAAAGTCACATATATATAGAAAATGATTATTATATGTATGCAACACAACAAAATGTATGAAGCCAAAGCCATCTAGAGGAATCACAAAGGCAAACTCCTTCTCGTTATCACCTTTCAATTTGAAACGGTCCTGTGAGTAACAATCACCTTTCTAAACTTTTCAAACTTTCCTGGTTCTGTGTGAACATTTCTAAATTTTCTTCCAGTTTATTCCTGGTTCATAAGAATTTTCTGTAATAAACGCAATAGTGTCTCAACTGTCCCAACAGATAATACACATGTTTTCAATGTCCTATCAATGGCTGCGGCACATGCAGTACCTCTACTGTTAAAACACTGCCATTCTTCAGTTTCTCATCCAGGCTGTCTCTTCTCTTCAGCAGCTGGTTTCTCTCCTGCTGGAGTTCCTCCACCTCTCGGAAAATCCTCCTCTTGCTTTCGGCACTGCTGCTCTGGAGCTGGCTAGTCTTCTCTGACAGCTTCCTGTCCACTGCGCTTAGCTGAGCTGACAGCTTTAAGATATTTTTGCTTACAGCCTACAATTATAGATACATCAAAGTAACACAGGTTTACAATCTGAATTAATAACAATCAAACAAAGTGTATTCACCTTACACTTATTTTCAATCACATCATGTTTTTTTTCTTTGCAGAAGCTGGTAGTTCTGCATCCACCTCACCTGACTGGATCTCAGTTTCTTTATCTCTAATTGGCTCTTCTCTTGTGAGAAAGCCTCCTTCTTGGCAATAATCTCCTCTCTCTTCTTCAGCTCTTCTTCCAACTCAGTTAGAGCCTGCCTCTGTTGCAGAACCTTCTCCACCTCCTCATCAAGCCATTTCCGCTGTGCTTCTAATCTCTTCAATAGAGAGGTGTTATATTATTTTCAGTCTTTAATACATCTTTAATTCAGCATTTAAGATAATCGTGCATTTACATAACCAAGAGACCTCAGTTAAGGGTTAACCCAAAGAAAGACTGAAAGCCACTAAATACCATTTTCTACACCGCTAGGAGTTAAAAAAATCAATGCAAACCTACCCTAGCCTAGACACAACACAAACAAAACATGCGGGGCCCAGTGCACAAACAGGGCAAATATCCGCTAGTCAATCCAATTAAACCCGAACCTGGCATTGCTCTACAAACTTTGCACTACTCTTGTAAAGTCCTGGTCACAGTCAGAAAGCTAGCTAGCTTTGTTTCAAACCAGAGAACTCAAGGTTAAAAAAAGAAAGTGGCATTTTACCTGATATGCAATTTAGTAGTTCCTCTATCCTTACTTTTTGAGCAGCCTTATTTAATACACGACAGATTAAATGTCCAGGAAATTAAAAATCTCCTTAATATCCTCCACAATGAAACAAAATCAACCCTGGACCAGAGTGCTTCCATTATGTTCTGTATTTTCAAAATATTCCATTAAATCCTTAAGTACAGGAGATGAATTTTTGTTACAGTTCATTACATTTTTTCCCCTAAAGCATCTGGTGCTGTCTGAGATAGTGAAAAGACAGAGCCGGGCATAGAAAAAACGTTTATACCTGCTCATCTTCAGGAGTGCTGATGTGCTTTGTCCTTTTAAAGGCAGCTACTTCCTCTGTCTTTACCTTCAGTATTCTCTTTTGTTGTTCAGTTTTTAACTGCAGTTCCTATGAAATTTCAAATGGCAAATTAATAACATCAGAACAGCCTTGTAAAGCAATGTGTTTTTCATTGACGCACATTAAAATTGCAGAAATTGTCTTTAAATCTTCATACAGTACATGCATTCCAGTACAACAAGACAACTTTTTAATCAAAATTAATCTAGAAATGAATAAAAATAAACGTGAAGCATTTTTTAAAATGTAACCAAGAAATTCTATAATTAAAAAAGATACTTCTTTGTGCACATAATAAAATAATAATAATAAAATTAGGGGGTCAACAAAGACAAACTGGAGTTTCTCCCTTTTTTCTGCTTTTATCTTAAAATAGACAAATTGTTAATGCACTAAAATCAAATGAAAAGGTGCAGTCTGAGAAGACTCACTTTAATATGCTGCTGATCCCTGATGATCTCAGCCTCCAGTTTTCTCTTCTTGTCTGTCTCCTCCCTTAGTTTTTTCTGCAGCAGTGTCTGCTGTCTTCTCATGTGTTCCACATTCTGCTCCAGCTCGGCCAGACGTTTTTCACTCTGAGCCGAGAGAGATGCCAGCTTCTTTGTGTCTTGCTGCTTCTTTTGTAGTACCTAGCAAACAAAAACAGGCATGTTTAACACACACAAACCTTCTGCCTCCGTTTTCTAAATATACTCTGTAACATAAGTAACATATAACAGAATATTTGTATTTTACACTATTAAGATTGGTGCTGTTCCAATATGCTCAATGTTTAAACTCAATATTTTACTATGAAATGCTTCACCAGTCAGCGTCTTATTCAATAAATATTAACAAATCTTAAAATCAAAAGTAAATAAACCTATAGATTGATACACATTCAATAGTTACAAATTGCAATAAATGAAAGAAAAAAAGTGCCTCCAGTCTCCAATTATGTCTTGCAGAAACCTTGAGAAAATGATTTGGGAGATGTTCAGTTTTTGTTTTTCTTTCTGGTATTACCTTTGCTTTCTGAGAAATATAGCCCACCTGTACTTTGATCTTTGCTGTGTCCACCTTCTTGCTGACATCCCTCTGGAGCTGGGCTGTCTCTGTGCCATCCTGCCCCTCCCTGGCCTCCAGCTCCTGCAGCTGCTGCTGGGTCTCCTTCAGCTCCCTCTTGGCCTGTTCAGCTTCTTGCTCCACTTGTACAATCTTCATGGAATAGTGCCTGTTTACTGCTTGGGCATCCTTACCTAAGAGGATGAAGACGTGAATGTGCTCATGAATTTATGATAAAATTATCATTTCTTTCCACCATTTAGCTACTAAATGATGACTGCTGCTTAACATCAGACGGGCCTCAGTTTCTCAGGTTCAAGCTTTGCTCAAAATTCCCAGAATATAAAAGAGTAGTGGGAGTGCGGAACAAGCTATCCAGCCATGCTGAAACTGACACCCTGGCTTCCTTCAAGAAGCACCTGGATGAAGTTCTTGGGTCAATTAGGCACTTTCAGGCCATCAAGGCCCATATGGGAATGGGGGGCAAGGGCCACCATGTTTCTTGACCATCCGACACTGGAGGTGGAGGTGATATGGTCAGTATCACCCTCCGGCCGGCCTCTTACCCCCAGAAGGATTAACCCCTGGAACTCACTTGGAAAGCAGGCTGAGTGGACCTGGGAGCCGTCTGGAAGGAATTGGAGCAAGCTCCATCGCTTGCCCCTACCTGGGATTGAACCCAGGACCTTCCAGTCAGGAGCTAGATGCTTACTGTCACTTGATTGGCCACTGCCTCTCCCCTGGTCCCGCCTCCTCCTCCCTCCTGGCTTTTGTTTTCCTGTGCTATATTATCTTTGCTGACTGCCCTATCTTTCTTACACCCGAAGAAGGCTCCACAGTTGAAACGTTGTGTTTTCTTTCTTCTCTTTTCAGCATGGAATAAACCTATTACTTATTCCTACAAACATGAGCACTTTTTATTTTTTACCTAAAAACAAAAATTCAAATCATAAAAAGTTAAAGTCATATCTGGAGCTCTACAGGTGGGACTGGAAATGATTCACACATGCACACCAGAACCACATCTGCAGCTTAACTAGAAACCATAGTAGAAACTAATAAAATGCAAAACTGAATAAGAAAATTAGTAACATGCTTTCAAAAACCTAACAATCAAAATATATTAAATACAATCAAAAGAGGTATACTCAAGTTATAGCAAAAAGCAATGGAACACATATAATAATATAACACATATTGATAATATTTAAATGGACAAATATAGTTAATCACTTAATCAACACTGAAAGCAACAGAACCGTAACATTTCATATAAATATTCACAACACAGTATATTTATGCACAGAGTAATAATACAGATCTCTCTGATGGTCCAGTAACAAGGAAATACAGCCAAGTTTTGCAAGCACAAAATCTGCTTAAAAGGCTTTTCTCTTTGCTTCTCAGTACAGCTTCTGACAGATTTAAATCTGTTTTATTCTGTTGTTGAGTTGAAGCCTTTGTCTTCTGTAATAATCAGAGACATAAATTATCGTTTTTAGGTTTTAAAGTACTGCCAACAAAATCAAGCTGAAATATTTGATAAATCCTTTTTCTCTTGACAGATTAGTTGATATGGTGCCTACAACAACACCAAAGATGAAAACTTCATGCATATTTCACTACTTTACTGACACAATAACACAAAAAGATCATGTCAGACACATCGATCATACAAACAGAAAAGAACTTAAAACTTTTTCCATTGACAGGTCTATTTTGTTAATTCCAGCAAATAAGTACATGGCCTTTTCATCAAATTATATTAACCACTTTCTTTGTACGCGGATGATGAAAAGGGGACATTTTGACGATACTGCCTTCCCTCACAGTGAAGAAACGATCTGCTGTTTGCTTTTTCTCTTGTATATGAATCAGAAAAAAGCAAAACTAGGTGAGGACTACCTCTGCTTGGTAAAACAGATGGCAAGTTTTAAGAATAACCCATTCTCCTTTGTTTCTTGATTAATACAAATTATTTATCAGATATGGGGCACCAGCTAGCCAAAAACAGTGAAGAATACAGAGTGGCTTAGAAAGCAAAAGCAAATTACAAAGTTTCAAAAAGGTTCAATCAAAATCAATGAAAATCAAAAAGTTTACTTTAAAATTAAACCACTCATCAATAAAAGTGACATTTTAGGGTTTGGTATATAAGGGTAACAAGATTAAACTGCCACACCCCCTAGTGGTCAGCATGGAGCCTGATCATTCTAATAAGGATGGACAGGTCACAATTTTATTATGCACAAAAAAACAGAAAGAACATAAATATTTTTTCCACCAAAATAACTTTCTTTACAGTTAAAATGTCTGCATACTTGTAGCTATTTTCGATATGTAATTCAAGAGTTTGTTTCTTGTGGATATGTTTCACATAAAATGTTTTGGCTTACTGTTATTTCTGTTAACAGGTTTGACTTCTCTACTTCTCTAACCCCTTAACTCAGGGGACCCCAGTTCTGGGCCGGGAGACCTACACACATTTTTTTGTGTCCCACCTTTGCACTCAATTCAATACAGTAAATGATATGCTCAATAGCCTAAATAAAAGAGTCTATTTGAATTCCTTAATTTTTCATTTCCTAAACATGAAGGAGGTTGCTTTTAAGGTTTGCAGTCATTTAAAATCTCCAACAACTGCGTAGAAAAAAAACTTACAGATTACCGAACCAATCAACTTGTTGGTTTATTTAAGGATTAATTTAAGTACAGAACTCAGCTGCCATGACAACCATAATGTGCACGTGTTCCCAGGACCAGGATTGGGAATACCAGCTTTAGGCTGTGTAACCATATTCATCTTACTTGAGTGATCTGAAGGGCAGGCCATTTGGATACTTCAAATTGTTTAATGTTCACAAATTAAAATAATTGGTTAATGTGTTAAAATTTGGTTTCATTCCTTACATATTTGTTTTTGGTTGTAGAACAGTACAACAGTGTCTATAGAGGAAGGTGCAAGGAGACATTATCGAACATCCCTGCTGTACACTATAAGAAGGTGCACTGTTGAATTTCAGGTAATCGTTACAAATATCTACAGTATGAACTATATGATTAGAAATACAATTATGGCTGATTTAATTAGAGTCATGCAAATATGGAATGATCTAGTCTGTGGAGCTAAAATGATAGGACAGCGTTCAAGCTATACTGGCTACACAAAAATATTCTGCATGACTGCTTCTGAAATGTCAAGGTTACAAACGCCCTTTCATGTGATTATTCCAGTTTATCCAACATGTTTATCAGTGAAGTTAATCTGAAATATTAATACCATAGAACTGGATGACTGATTCAGTAATTATGATGATGATGTTCAAGAAATTATTTTTAAACTTCCTCTTTTTAAAGACCTTTCTCCCACATATGGTGGTACAGCGTGCCAGGATAGGCACCTGCTCCTCTGCAACCATGTATTAGACAAAGTGTTTAGGGAACAGATGGATGGACGGTGGTTCTGAACTGTCAAAACAAAAGCTAAACCTATTCAGCTGTTTTCCTGCAAATGGCAAACCATTTAAATACATGCAATACCCAATATAGCTTCAGACATACCCGTTTTAACCAGTTCTTTGATAAGCTCTTCTTTCATTCGGATATTAATTGCCAGTTCCTTTGTCTTCTGCTTGGCCTGCGTAAGCCTAAGCTCAGCCTCCTTTAGCTTCTGTAGGTTCAGAGTCTGGCTGCACCTAACCCGCTCTTCCTCCACCAAGAGCTCTGGCAGACCAGCAGCACCGTGCTCTGGAGATCAAAGAAATACAAAACACAGCAAGATATTTATGGAGAGTTAAACTGGAATAGTTGGGGGAGAGGGGGTCCTTATGACTTTTTTTTTTTAAATTATGTGCATCTACCTGCAAAGGGCTGAGTATGTAGGCTTTCTTCATCGTGAACGTTAGAATCAGACACCACTGGAGTTTGTTTCCGAGTCCAGGTGCGATTCATGGAGCGCCTAGCAGAAAGAAAGAGAAACAGAACACATACAGGGCCTTGAAAAAAGTATTCAGACCATTCCTATGGTGTCCCATTTTGTGATATTACAAAACATTGCATACACTATTTTGAAATGTAATATTTTGTGCAAAACTAATGCTAATTAATCAATGCTCAAATTGAACATTTTGAGGGCAACATTATTTACAGTAAACATTAGCAAAAACCGAAGAGAGAAACTGACACATGTTGACTCAGATCTGCAATCTAAGTATTTAGTGAAAGCACCTTTGACAGCAATTGCAGCTGCCTGTCTTTTTAGGTGTCATATTTTCCCATTCTTTTTGACAGAGTAGGTCCTTAATTTGCTTTGAGAACATCTACTGAAAGCAGCTTTTAAGACTTTCCACAGATCTTCATATAATTCATACACAACAAGGCAGAATACTGACTGGTCCACTTAAGGATATTCACTTTCTTATTCTTAAAGCATTCCATTGTGGCGGCTTTATCCTTGTGCTTTGGATCATTATCTTGCTGAAAAGTTCAAAGTAAAATTTTGTCCCAGTCTTAGATCCAAAACCAATTTTCCTCTAAGATTTGCCAGCATATACAAGCTTTCCAGTGCCTGCTGACAAAGAGCAGCACTCCAACAAAATGCTACTGCCACCATGCCTGACAGTAAGGATGGTGTTGCATCATACAGTATGTAACTTTGTATTTAGACCAAAAAGCAAAATTTGAACTTGATCTAGTACGATATGACCACAATTGGTTTTGACACATGTTTGCAGTATCACTTAGGTGCTTTGTTGCAAACAGCATGCGAGATTTGAGATGGGTTTTTTCCAGTTACAGTCTTCTCCAGATTTATACATTTATACAACTTTATCCCTGAGTTGTTTTGAAAGCTGCTTTGAAACAGGGTCATGGGAGATGCCAGGGCCTAACCTGCCAAGCAGTGGGCGCAAGAGGGGAGTACACCCTGGATGGGATTCCTGTCCATCTCAGGGCACACAAGGACACAGACACAAATCCACACACACACTCATCAGAGCCAATCTTCCCAGCAACCAATTAACCTACCAGTATATCTTTGGTCTGTGGGAGGAAACCCAAGTGAACCTGGGAAGAACATAAAACTCTACACCACAGGATTTAAACCGGGTGTCCCAACACTGCGACACAGCTATGATAATCACTGCGCCACTGCTCTTTGGTCTTTTTATTAGCTTAAAATTTCAGTGCCTTAAAATGACAGGTGTGTTTATTCTACGTCACATGCACACTGACAGAGGCTACTCAGCTAATTATGTGAACCATTAAGATAATTTTGTGCATCTATATTAAATTAGGTCTGCCACAACAATGTTTCTGAATACTTTGGAAATTTGAGTTTCCCACTTTAATTTCATATTAATTATCTATTTACTTATATATGTTCGTGTCCACATTCTTGCTTTGAATATGTAGAGTAGGTTGTAACTGTATATATAACAATTATTACTTGCTACTTAGAAGTATCATGATTGGAAGCTTTAAAGTATCAAAATATGAAAACTGAGCAAGGGTCCGAGTATGTTTGCTAGGCTTTGTAATATATGCTGGAAAGTATTTATAAGCAACTCTTTTCTAAGAAAAAGTTTTTTGAATTGTTTGAATTAACTTAACAACATCTCCTCATATAAAACTCTAGTTAACATACTACCTTTGGATTTTTCCATCTTTGTAATCCTATATTTTAGTCTCTACGCTCTATGTACTTAATCTCCATTAAATTACTTTCCTTATTTTACATTTGATCAATTCAAGAGATATTTAGAAGATCACAGACTGATGGCTGCATTCTAAGGGCAAAAAGGAAATCTGTCTGAGAACACCTGTTCCATATACAATGACGTGTATCTGAATTTTGTTCTCTCAAACAGAAATGTCAATGTCAATTAACACACTGACCATCAGCAAGAGCACCAGTACTAAAAATGTCAGTGCGTATAAATAAAAAACGGTGCCAAGAAATGGTGTCCATGTCATCTGCAGGGCATCTTGCAGATAATAAGGTTAATGAAATCCTTTCAATTGTCTATCATTGCTCGATTGTATTAACCTGAAAGCCTGCTTCTTGTCGTTTTCTCTGTCTTTTTTAGCATTCTTCTCCTCCTCACTGCCGTCAGAAAATTCACAACAAAGGACCTCATCTTGCTCCTCAATCTGTGCCAGCAGCAACTGGCTACGAGTTCTGAAAGCTGCCATCACTCTTTCCAGAGAATATGCAGGAGGACTTGTGTGAACCTGTAGAAAACAAAAGAACAACAGATGTTTATCTGACCTACATGGTAACTATGTGATCACGTACCACACCAGATCAAACAACAGGCCAACCTGACATTCTCATTTTCAATTACATGGCCCAGCACCTGATGGACTTTACACCATAGTAGAAGTAGACCATATGAACATAAAAAAGGCTACGAATGAGAAGAGACCATTAAGCATAATTAGTCTATGTGATAGTTAGCAGTTAACGAATCCAAATCCACAAGTTTCTTGGAAGAAGCTAAGGGTATTGATTCAACAACTTGGCAGGGTAGTGTGTTCTGTTCTTCCACAGCAATTTGGGTACAGAACTACACCCTGTTCTGAGTTTTAAAAGCATTTCTACTTAAATCCCACCAGGACTGTCTCACAAACAAGAGCCACCAAACTGTGTAATTTATAAGACATTTACACATCAATAAGCTTCGGTCTTCGGACTGTTGAAAAAGAGGTATTTCTTGTCTCTTTGCTGTTGCTCTACTCTGATAAAACAGATGAACGGTCAAAGAAATGGTACTAAAAACCTACAGTGTAGAAGTTCCACCGAATTCATGAACCATTAATTTAAACAGTATAACTGATGTTTATTAAATAAGTGGAGATGCCTGAAACTAAGTTCTGTACCTTCCTGGTGTCCTGCCTGAGTTGGCTTTGAGAAGCATCCCCCCTGGATCCTGCCTGATTGTAATTGGTGAGTGGGACACTAAAAGGTCTTCTAGAAGAAGCAGATCTTTCCACAGAAACATCTGATTTGTCCAACTTAAAGCTCTGTAGGTCTTCTCTTAGTCGATCAATCAATAACTGCTGTTCCACCATTCTCTCATTCTGCAATATTACAATAGAGAAAGCATGAATGAATTAATATATTAAACATAATACACTTCACAGATCTGAGGAGTGTTTCCAAGGAAAGTGACAAAAAGCTAACCACCTGCTTCTTCCAAATGTATATTCTTCAATGAGTGTAGTTTATCTGGAGTTAAATTTTAGTCTTGAAATGGTAAACTAGATGTCTTAAAGCTTATTACTTTTGTTTTTTGTTCAATAAAAACTATTTTTTTTTAATCATCATATACTTAGGAATGTACTATACGTGAAATAGAACTGGGAATTTAAATAATACATTCTGTACAGAAAGGTGCACAATTTAACAAAGTACTGAGATGAGATTACAATTTAGCTTTAAATATATACTTTTCATAATGGTTTTAATGTTTAAATGTAGTGCATCAAGAACTAATACAGCCCAGCTTTACCATTAACATTGTTTTTGTGGGCTTTAGAACTATCACCTCCAAGAATGAATGAGCTGCATCTAGCTTTATTTGTCTTCTTATGACTCTATACATTTATAAATAGTTTACCTGGATTAATAAACTACCTACAGTCAATTCTATATTGTGAGGTTAAATAGCATGATCTGTTTGAAGAAAATGCTAATTTTACACAGGTCTCAAAATCTTGGTCCACATTCAACTTAACCAATGCAAGGTTTATTTTATATAAATGAAAGACAGAAAACATTTTATGAATAGATGTTACAGAAATCATATTTAGGATGGTCTAAAGTATATTATAAAAGAAAAATGTAACAAAGAAGTTTTATTTTTGCAAAATAGCCTGTCTGCTAAGCACTACATTTGCAGATGCCCTGTTTTTAAAGTGGCATAAAAAGTAAGTGAAATTTTCTTTTCTTCACCAATTGTAAGTACTGTACTTAACTGCATATGTGTAGCTTAAGTCGGGTATTACCTGTAATCGACTTTTATTTCGTTCATCCTCAAGAGCAGCTAGATACTCTTCATTTTCCTGCATAAGTGTGTTGATTTGATCTTGCAGTCTCTTCAGTTCAGACTCTTTCTTAACAAAAACGTCTTCATCTGTTGCCAAAGCATCCTGAAAAGAAAAATTCAACAAAAGAAGTAACAATTTAGTCTCTTATATTTGTTTCAAATGCTCTGCTAATTGTGTACCAAAATATGTTTAACAGTTTTACTTTCCATATTTCTGTTAACCACATACCTCTACTCTACTAACCTGGATAAAGAAAGATACAGTAATAAGAGAAGCATTAACTAGAGTGAGTACCAGGCTTCTGGAAACACCCCCCAACACTGTGGCTCCTCTCTTGAATTATGCAAAAAGAACTCAATTTTAACCCTATAGCATGGGGTTTATTCTTAAACACAGGATACACTTTGCTCTATAAAAGAAAAATTACTTCAGATAAGGTGAGATCAGATTCAAGAAATTACATAATGTTGAGCACATCGAGTGTGTTGTAGAAAAATCCATCCATCCATAAAAGTTCATCCATGGTTTCCCTTCACTGTGTCAGAATTATACCAAAAAAGTAAAAAATAAACGTTGTGAAAAACAAACTACAGTACTGGAAACAATTAAGAGTGGGAAAATAATTCTAAAGATGCATTACAGATTAATAACTTGGGCAGCAGAGTGGTGTGTCAGTGCTACTGCATTGGGTTAAGGTCTGGAATGCCTTCTGTCTGTAGCTTGCCTCTGTGCGTGTGGGTTATCTACAGGTGCTCCAATTTTCTCTCACAGGACAGGAGCATAGAAATGAAAAGGTTAGGTGATTAATGGAACTCCTTTTAACAGACAGCAGCCCAGCTTCACATTTCAAATTGCACTGTATGTAAGACGCTATGTGGAGGGTTTTAAATCGGGTACTGTTGAAAATAAAAGAGATGATGTCAATCTGAATAAATCTGCAGAAAGTGTCATTATTTCTTCAAAAATAGCAAGTTACAAATAAGCATAAAAGGGTTTTGATTAGACCAGCTAAATAACTACTTTTTAACATTTTGTCCTGTTTCCTCTCCTCAGCAATGGAGTCTGATATTATACAGCTTTAATAAAGTTCCATCAGAAAAGTAGTATCATCCCAAGACTAGCTGGAGATGGAAATTCCTCAAAAAAACTGCTAGTATTTTAATTGTATGAGTCACAATTTCCAGCAAATATGGTAAAATCATTATGGTTTATTAGACATCCTCATCTTACAATTTGTCCCTTCTTATACATTGTCTGAATAGTGTTTGAACAACAGCTTGCTTATCTTCTGAGGTGGAGTAACTGCATAATTTACAAAATATCTCCAATTAATTCATTGTACTTTGGGGGTAGCAGGAAAAAAGTGTTCTTCGATTTCATTCTGTGAAATGATTGCCAGTGAGAGCAAATACACCTTTGGTAAAGAAAAATACATCTCCTGTATATACTATAAAATTGTTACAAATAAAAAAACACATTAATTACAATAACTGAACACTGCCAACACACAGAACTGTTACTTTCAAAAGGTCATGTAGACCTCACTACCTGGCATTTCTTCAGCTCTCTTTTCAGCTGGAGTATTGTGATATGATGGGGTTCCTCTCCAGTGCTGGTGGCCCTGCACTCCACTTCCACAGAGTTGCACTTTTCACTCTGCAGCTCTTCAGCTCCCTCCAGCCACTCCTTCAGCTTGCGCTCATGAGTGGCAGGCAGGTCAGCTGTCTCCCTGAGCTCCAGCAGTAACTGCATCGCGTCTTCCGTGCAGGCTCGATAGTGGTAGCTCTCCACCTGAAGCTGGGCCAGCTGCTCCTCGAGGACACGGATACGGCTACTTTCGTGGCCTCCGGGCAGCTCCTGGGAGATGTGGCTGCCACGGGTCATCAAGCTGGCATGCTGATTCTGCAGAGCTTCTCTCAGAGCCCTAATCTCCAGCTCCATTTCATCCATTCTGTCCCAGTCAGGGTTGTAATTGACAATAGGTTTGTTCTTGATGTTCCGAGCCCTGTTGGCATATTTGAGGGAGTTCAGGGACTCATCCAGATCTGAAGAGGATGGGCTGATGCAGGTTATCATCACTGTCTTAGCATTGCCTCCAAGTGAGTCCTTCAGGATTCGGGTGATCTTTGCGTCTCTGTAGGGCACGTGCTGACTCTTCCTTTTAGGATCCCCCAAGGCACTTATGACATTTCCCAATGCCAGAAGGCCACTGTTGATCTGGATTGACTCTTTAAAGCGCTCACCAGTATTGCCCGTCTTGGTGACTCTCTCAGATCCAGCAAGGTCCACAAAGTGAAATTTGGATGAGATGAGCTGGACAGAGTTGTGAGTACCGGGTTCCCCCTCCCCTCTGCTCTGCTGGGCTGTCTCACGCGTGGGTCCCTGTTGACTCACAGTGATGGTGAGAATGGCATGGGAGCGACTAGAGTGCTCGTTCATTTGGGTGGTTCCTGTATGACGAGCTGCAGTCCCAGCTTCCAGCAGGCTCATCACATCTTCTGCTGTCTCCACCAAGCTCTCTTTGGCCCCAACAATCACTGATTTGAAAACAAAGCAAACAAAATAAATTCCTATACAAATCACAAAAGTGTCACATCTAATGAATTTGTCACGCTAATGTCCAGCCTACCTTGAATGTTAACATGTTCAGAGCACAGTTAAACCCTGTTTCATTACCATACTACATACTGGTTTGTTCATATTTTGCTAGCATTAATTACAGGGGGGAAATAAATGTCTAAAGAACAACCTTTTTCTATTTTTTTTTTACTTGAAAAAAATCTTTCTAATGGTTATGATGAATCTACTTGACAGTTGCCAGACTCTTCATTTCAATAAAGTCAAGTGTGGAAGCGTGCTTTGGGTTACCTGTGTTTCCTTTCTCATCCTCTCTGATATGCATGTCTTTGGAGGATGTTTCCAGCTCCAGTAAGTCCCTTAGCTCCTCCTTATAGACCTCTATATAAGAAACTTTGACAGTGAAGTCTGTGTTATGCTTCTCTGCGATATTGTGAAAGATTTCCTGAATAGCACGAGGAATGATCCCATTCTCTTCATCTGAGGTGGCAACTTGGAAGGGGGAAGAAGAAAAACACAAGTGAACTAACGCCTTAAAATATTTTTTTACCATCTGTGTGAGACTTTCTACCGCAAGTCAAAATCTAGCTGTGGCATTTTTACTTTATTACAGAAATTAAAACAGCATATTCAAAAACAAATTAGAAATGGTCACATTATCAATTGATGATGTTGTTTCGGTCATCTTATTAAGGCACCAAAACATGGTCGCTAAATTGAGCTCTTGGAGACTGGCTGCAAACATACTTGACTGTTATGTTAAAAAATTATAATAGTCCATTTAATGGAAAAAGTCCTTCCATCCATTTCCTAACTGTTTTTACCTCCACTTTACTGTATTTTACCCAATACAGGGTTGTGGGGGAGCTGGAGCCTATCCCAGCAAGCAACAGGCGCAAAACAGGATACACTCTGGATGGGGCATCAGTCCATCACAGGGCAGACACAGACTCGAACACACATTCTTACACCAGAGACAATTGTACAGAAGCCAAATAATCTACCAGTCTGTTTTTGGACTATGGAAGGATACCTAAGCACTCGGAGGCAAGCCACGCAAACACTGGGAGAACATACAAACTCCAAGCAGATAGCACCCAGGGCCCCAGAGCTGAAAGGCAGCAATAACAGCATCTGTGCCACAGTGCCACCCGAAAGAACAAATCATTCCTGAAAAATTGGCTTGTTCACTTTCATAATACTCACCAATATGTCCCCCACCAATCGTGTATGTTTTTCCTGATCCAGTTTGCCCGTAAGCAAACACTGTGACATTATATCCTTCAATGAGAGACAAAACCAGGGGTTTGATGCATGTCGTGTAAACCTCATCCTGTAGAGACCTCTGACCAAATACGAAATCAAAGGTGAAGGCCCGGTCCTTTCCGATGATGATCTGCTGGGTGTTGGGTACAACACGCACACAAACCTGGTGGTTGTGGAGGATCTCTTTTGGGAGTAAAGGCCTAATTCGAACGGCCACCTTCACTGGAATCTCCTCCATGGCTTGTTCTGGTTACTTATACTGTTCTCATATTCTTCAGAAAGCACAAAGAAGTCCAAACTGACTAAGACAAAAAAACAAACAGACTTGGTAAGTACAATAATGGAAAGCAATCGTGTAGCTGGGGTGGACTGGTGGCTCTGTGGCTAAGGATCTGCGCCTGTGACTGGAAGGTTGCCGGTCCAAATCCTGCGGCTGGCAGTGGAATCCTACTCTGATGGGCCCCTGAGCAAGGCCCTTAACCCTAACTGCTCCAGGGGCGCTATACAATGTCTCCAAGACCCCAAGTGTCTCCATGGAGAAAATCTGGGGTATGCGAAAAGATGAATTCCTAATGCAAGAAATTGTATAGGGCTAATAAAGAAACATTAAAACGTTACATTAGTTAAGGCAAGACAAGTGACAGGAAGTTCAATATCTTATCCAACACCGAGAAGTGTACTTTGTAAGACACATTTATTTACAAAGGAAAAATAAAAAAATGAATTTGAGACACATTTACAGACAGGCCTTGAGCTATCGATTAAATTAATTTGTGCGTGTTTGAATTACTGGACAAGGCTGAAAACCCTAGAGCGATCCTTTGACTTCCTTCTTTGACAAGCTGAAGATACTCATGCTAAGACCACCGCAAACTCAGGGGTATTTTTATTTTTTGTGACAGAACAAACTTCATATCTATATTTTCTGTTCTCTAAACTTTAGTTAAGTGTCATTTTGTTGGCGGACTAGTTCTAATATCATAATAACACATGCTGATACTACTAAAATAGTGGGAATTGTATTTGTGAGCACGTCTGAAGAAACACCAACGAGCTCAAAACAGAAAGGTGATTAACGAAAAAGTTTTAGAAAAAAGTTTCTAAAATTACAAACTTTTTACGTTTTTTTTCCGATCACAACAAACACATATACCGGGTTATGCACCACAGAGCTTATACTATGCATCACAAGTCACATAAATAATCATGTATCAAACTTCAACACTTGAATTACTTTAAGACACACCTGCAAATATATACCACAATCAATGCTGTTAGGAAGTACTCTTCTTACCATCATCTTCCTACAATAATGGTGTTTTACATGCGTAAGCCTGTCATGTTTACAGGTTTCGAAAGACGATCAAGTTGAGAAGTGTTCTTTAAAAGTAACGCAGGTTTCTCCACACACTGAAATCAAATGCAACACCAATAATTCACACTCATAACTCGGTATATCTTATGGACGACGTTTTCACTTGAAAAGCTATATAATTTCTAAGTTGTCGTTATTTTATCGCTCCTTGCATCAACCAAAGTTTTTTTTTCCCCCATTGTTTCTGTTCATTACCTGGCAACCACTGAACGTTGCCAACAGACTAGTCAACAAATCCACCACGAAGCTCAAGAAGAGAAATGCACTGACGACAGGAAAACTACAGCGCCCCCTCACTGTGAAACGGTCTGTTTGGGGAAAGCGCAGAGACCACTGTTCTGTTTATTTCTACTAACTAGACGGAGCTTTTTGCTGAATTTGACAAAACTCACTTTTTTTTTTTTTTGCTCTTGGCTTTTCCTAGTAGCGCAGTATGTTTGGTAACCTAAAAATTAGCACAGGTAGTTCAACAGGGAAGTAATGTGGATGGGTATGAGCTTATTTATCGTATCAAGTGCAGAATCTGCTACACATAATTCATTTGTGGGGATTCGGTCCAACATTTTATCAAGCACTACACCAGCTAAATCAGTGTACGGTAGGAGGCTGTGGTGTTTTTGTATGTTACTCCTTGGTTACTTCAATTTTGCTGCTCACAATCCTGAGATCAAACCCTTGTTGGAAGTTAAAAACTTTTGTTCCTGTGTTGTCTTTTGAAGTGTATTTTAGGATTCTCACAAGGGCGTCTTGCTTCTACTTAGGTAGAAGGCTATCATTGCTTCTCAGCCTATATGATGCTAAAACATTAATAACATGCCTTTGAAAATAAGAAAGGGTTGTTGAGGGTTTTCTTGCTTACATATCAAATGAGACACTGAATGGTCTAGTTGCTGGGGAAGCAATTGGAAGTGGTGGTTAGGGTTCCAGACTTGTAATTGAAAGGCTGTGGTCTCAAATCCCAGTGCTGCTGTAACTGTGAAGGAGGTATTTTGCCTAAATTGCTCCAGTAAAATACCCACCAGGTATACAGTAAAGGGATGCAAATATAAGTTACTCTTGATTAGAGTCAGCCAAATTAATTAGTAATTAGCTGTCTTAGTGATGTGAGAGGTCCTGAATCAGCAGTTCACAAAATAGGAGTTGCACTGCTGTATAATTCACAATATCATCCGAGTTATACAGCAATGGTCTTTGTCGTCAGGCGACACAATGTGATTAATCTATCTCTTGCATAGTCCCATGTCTGTGGCACTCAAAACCAAAAACCATTAGAAATTCTGTGAGCGTAAATATTTTTAAATGTTACTTAAATACCTTTTGTTTGGACACTCAAGGCTGTTTGCTGATTCTGTCTTGTGTCTAGCTGGCTGTTGAAAGGGACTGCAGATTCAGCATCAAACACTGGTTCTAGGGTTCTGGGTATCATCTGTGAGTAGGGTTACCAGGGGGCCCTATAATCATTGGACACTTTAAAACAGAACAGGATTATAAAGCTGCCATGAAACTGTGCTAAATGAATGTGTTAATTTAGTTCTAAACCTTTACTACACTGATAATGCTGCTTAATTACCACACAAGAGCTGAACTACACTAATTTTAACATCTAAAAAAAGTGCTTTCCTAATTCATCCTGCTGACTAAAATGACTCTGGCTGTTTTGTCTTTTGTACCAGCCATAAAGGATGATCATGACAGACCTGTGATATCAATTTAGTAGCAACTGTAAGGTAACCCTGTCTGTGACCCTTGTAATGTTTAGGATGCCGTGGTATTATGTAAGGAAGTCTGCTGCCACAATGTAAATATCTACCTAACATGCAATCACCGCTGTGAGGTTTAATTTAATAATAATTATAATTGCTTACACTTATATAGCGCTTTTCTGGACACTCCACTCAAAGCACTTTACAGGTAATGGGGAGTCCCCTCCACCACCACCAATGTGCAGCATCCACCTGGATGATGCGACAGCACCCATAGTGCGCCAGAACACTCACCACACACCAGCTGTCAGTGGGGAGGAGAGCAGAGTAATGAAGCCAATTCATAGATGGGGATTATTAGGAGGCCATGATTGATAAAGGCCGATGGGAAATTTGGCCAGGACGCCAGGGTTACACCCCTACACTTGAGAAACGCCCTGGGATTTTTTGATGACCACAGAGAGTCAGGACCTCGGTTTTACATCTCATCGGAAGGACGGTGCCTGTTTACAGTATAGTGTCCCCGTCACTATACTGGGGCATTAGGACCCACATGAGCTGCAGGGTGAGCGCCCCCTGCTGGCACCACTAACACCTCTTCCAGCAGCAACCTTAGTTTTTCCCAGGAGGTCTCCCATCCAGGTACGGACCAGGCTCACACCTGCTGAGCTTCAATGGGTTGCCAGGTGTGAGTTGCAGGGTGATATGGCTGCTGGCCTTTGGTTTGGTGCTGGATAAGAGATGAGACTCCCCACTTTATAATATGCCAAGTTTTGTTTAATGTGTACTATACCATTAGTAACATGCTGTACCAGGCCAAAAATCAATAAGCAATTAAAACAAACAACCACTATAGGTCCACAGTGAAACTTGTTTTCCAGTATACCGAAGACTGTATTTGTTAAAACATCAGATTTACAATCAGATTTGTTTATTTATTTTAATCATTAAAATAAATAACACAGGGAAAATGCTGAGACAATCCCTAGATTGAAGCCCTGGATTGGTTTATTATTTCAAACAAGCATTATGCCCAGTAACAGAAGCAATACCACATTAAAACATTCCCATATCCAAAGAAACACAGACTAAGAAAAGTCCTAGGCAAGTCGTTTTTATTACAGTTTTGGAATGACCATGAAAGACAGAGGAAATGCCTCAGTCAGTAATAAATGCAGCGGGTGTGGTGGATAGGGATGTGAGCCATTTCTGCCTGGTGCTCTTTGGCATAGGGCCACAGGAAGAAATCAATGACAGCCGAATTGACTTCTTCAGCTCTGCGTCCTTCTCTTTGTTCAGTGATGTCCCACAGGTGAGCTCTGATCCTCTCGACGCACCAAATGGAACAGCCACGGATCTCCACTTCTCTGCGGTCTCCAGATGGCAGCGTCTTTCCTGTCATGCACAGCAAGACTGTAGCTCACACAGATGCCACACAGAACAATATGAGTGAGCAGGACTGGCGTTTCTCACATGTTGGCATCAGAACGTGCTTCTGCTGACATGGTAAATTCCGATGCCCTAACCCTTCAGTCTGTTTGTTGTCTTCATCCGTCTATATACCATCAAGCCTGCCTCTATTTACCATATTTTATACAATAAACACAATAAAATATAGTATTTTTTCTTCATGCTACTGAGTCCTTACTAACCTCTACTGTGTAACACAGTGTAATAGATATTAGAACTCCATAACTGGGGCCATTATAGAGTGTGTGGCTATCTCTCTCCATTCTGAATCTACACTACTCCCATCTGGGAGACACCTCTGTGTCCGTCTCCCCAGGTGTAATGGTGGGATATTTTTCATCCCCTCTGGGTTGTCACTCTCAAAAAAATGTAAAATAGCTCTCTTATCTCCTGAAACACTACTGTAGTTTATTCTTTGAAGGTGATGTTTGGCTGTTTTTGTTATACTGTTGTATTGGACTCTGCCATAAAACAAATTTCCCAGGGGATAACAAGTTTATTTTGAATTTAATTTGAGACCTAATAAAACAGTGAATGGCCGTTACTTTTTATGCAGCAGGGACTTGGAAGTCCCAATCCACCACTCTCAGTTTTTGCCTTGAATATTTTAAAGTGGTCTACTTCCCTTCTCAAGTTCAACAGGAGGGAATCAGTTGTAATGACACTACGAGACATATTCTTTAAAACAGCCCGATTAGGACAGACAATGTGGCTAATTGTAATTTATCCTACGAACCTTCCTGGAGGGTCTTCATCAGTGCATCAGAGTACCTCAGTGCACCGAGGTAGACAAGAGCCTGAGGCACCCTGTAGTCCGCAAACATTGTCAGGTACCCAAGGTCAGGAATGTTGGCCTCTCCCCTTGCTTCCATTATGCCCCAGAAATCAGCCACAAGGATCTGGGCTCGCTTATGAAATGAAACCTTTTTCCCCTGTTGTAAAAAAAAACAAACAGTGGTTTCTGGAAGAAGGCGAAAGAAAAAAAAGTACTCCTCAAATGCAGAAAAAAAAGAAAACTTAGTTTGTATCTCTTGTTGCTTAATTTACTACTTGTTTGAAATTCTATTGTTTGTGTTCCAAGAGTGTCTCTCGTGTGCTTTCCACATTTGACAGGGTTTGATCGTCTGTCTTGCCAAGGACAGAAACGTCCTGAAAAATAATTTCTGAATGCTGGATGAACAGGAGCAAGAGGGGAGCACAGATTTTTGGACCAAACTGCATAACACTCTACAAATGCAGTTCATCACAGGGCTTGATGGGTAACCTTCACTTGCTTCTCCTCGAAAAGAACAAAAATAAAACACTAAAATGGGAGATTGATGTGCTATTAGGTGACACCGTTCGTCTATGGTGACTCGGGACAAAAAAAACAACTTTATTTTAACTCTCTAAATGCTGAAACATCCGGGTCACAGATTAAATCTATAGATCATAAATTACATCTAGGGCAACTGATGTAAGGCAAAGAAAGTCTTGATTTTATCTTTTAAATAGCTGCAGCTTATTATATATGGGTATTTGTACTAAATACACATATGAATAGCATGGTTACTAGGAGGAAAGTTACATACAACAGGCTTTTAGTAATGTCTGAGCCAATACAGCTCTGAGTAAGGTCCTGACGATCAAGACTACGTATTGATTTCTGTGTGTCATTATTTCTAAACTGTACTTTACTGTGGTCCTCTATTTTTGGGGGGTTTTCTTACAAACTGTATATTTATATTTTGTAACCTGTATATATGTGGGAAGCAAAGGAACAAGTAAAGGTTTATTCCATGCAGAAAAAAGAAGAAAAGAAACACAACGTTCCATCTGTGGAGCCTTTTACAAGTGTGTCAAGGCTCCCCAGCTGAAACTTTGTGTTTCTTTTTTTCTCTTTTCCACATTGAATAAACCTTTACTTGTTACTTTGCAGCCTAAGCAGCTAACTACTTGAACTATATGTAGGAAATATTTCTACAACAGTACAAATGACAAAAGAATTACATAACATAGCATAACAGATTCTGAAATCAAGGACGTTGCTTTCAATTCAGCTGACTGCGATTTTCTAAACAATGGCTATGGTACAGAAATCACTTATGGTCTAAAACTTGTCAGACCCACAAGCAAGGTGAGCATGTGTGGTTTTGTCCAACTCCATGACATATTATAGTGCTCTTCCACCTTCCCAGCAAAGGCCACTATAAAAGAAATGCAATACAGTACGTAAACCCTTTGTTTAAATGACTTTGCTTTGCTGGACTTTGGATTTAATGGACAAATTTCTGCTAAAGGGGAATTTTGTCCGTATAATTTAGAAATAGCAGACTTACCCTACGATAACAGGGAAATACACAACTAATAGAACAAGATAAAAATAAATACTACAATAATTTAAAATTCAGGAATATCAATGATGTCCTATAGTAGGCCGGTTCCTTATGAAAGGTGTTGTTTGTGTTTCATATGCTTTAGAAACTGTATGACCAATGAAATAAAGAGCTTGCATTTTATGATAAAAAGGTACAGGAACAATTTTCATTTATTGTGCTGATTGTAAACCTCTTACTGATGTTCTACTGTACCAACACAGAGATATGATTCAAGCACGGAACAAAAGATGACCTGAACTCTGAACCCTTCTTAAAACAGGCAACTCTTAGAACTACAGTAAGACACATGCAGCCATATCACTCTGCCACTCACAACTGGCAACCCACTGAAGCTCAGCAGGTGTGAGCCTGGTCACTACCTGGATGGGAGACCTCCTGGGAAAAACTAAGGTTGCTGGTTGAAGATGTGTTAGTGGGGCCAGCAGGGGGTGCTCACCCCGCGGTCCATGTGGGTCCTAATGCCCCAGTATAGTGACGAGTACACTGTACTGTAAACAGGCACCGTCTTTTGAATGAGATATAAAACCGAGGTCCTGACTCTCTGGGTTTAAAAATGCCAGGGCGTTTCTCGAAAAGAGTAGGGGTGTAACCCCGGCATCCTGGCCAAATTTCCCATTGGCCTTTACCAATGATGGCCTCCTAATAATCCCCATCTATGAATTAGCTTCATTACTCTGCTCTCCTCCCCACTGATAGCTGATGTGTGGTGAGCATTCTGGCGCACTATGGCTGCCGTCGCATCATCCAGGTGGATGCAGCACATTGGTGGTGGTGGAGAGTAGTCCCCATTACCTGTAAAGCGCTTTGAGTGGAGTATCCAGAAAAGCACTATATAAGTGTAAGCAATTATTATTATCACATGCTCACCTCAAAAGTAGCCTCGTCTCTGTAAGATGGCAAGGTCTTCACAATGTGCATGACCATTTTCTCTGCACTGTTTTCACCTTTACTCATGAATTGGCGGAAAGAGCCGTCATACTGGAGCAGCACTTTGCCGGCCTCAGTGAGTGCTTTGTGTCTTTCCTCGATCATGGGCATTGGAACATCATTGTCAGACCGCAGCACGTGCTTCAGGTCATCTAGAGTCATGTTTGCAAAGTATGAAGCTTGAGTGATGGGAATACCTAGAAAAAAAATGCTATTTAATAAAGCTGAAAAACACAAATAGATCATTTAAAATCTCGGTTCTACAGGTGACCCATCTTCCAGTTTCCAAGTCACCAATGGATCAGTCAATGTCAATTGACTGACTGCACAAAAGTACCATGATAATACAGGCATACAAATAAGGTGAGGTCAAGGAGAACATAAAAGTTGTAGTAGAGTTTGTACATGAAGAGTAAACATTTGTTTTATTTTTTATCACTTGATCAAAAGGATATATCAGATTTTTTTTAAAGGGGTTAATCTTGTAAAGTAAAATTTATTATTCTATGAAAATATAAAATAGGTTTTATAATAATTATATTATTATGAATCTATGGGAGAAATCCCTAATGAATTTCTGGTGTGTTTTTTTTGTCATTTTATTTTTTCACTTTGAAATGTTAATGAAGAAAGGAAATGACATCATGATGGATACTTTTCATGAAGAAACGCATATTGTAGTTTACTGACTCCATCTTATAATTTGATGTGTTTATATTACCTTCATCCAGTGCTCTAGTGACAGCAGCACAAAGTGACATGTACCCACTGTAGCCTTTGCCTTTGTATGTCACCGTGCACTGCTGGTCTTCTTTATCTGGCCAGAAGGAGAAGTTCATAGTATCCACCACAAAAACCCAATTTATTGCATCATCGGTATTGCAGAATGGAGCCAGTGGGTTCATCTTTTTCCAGCCTTCAGCTGTGAATTCTTTACAGCCCCTTTTTGCATACAGCATCGCTGCTATCCTGCATACCCCCTCTTCTTCAATAAAAACATCTTTGCTGTTTTCTGCAATGAACTTTCCAGAATCTCTTGGCGACAGAGGTGCTTCCATTTTACTTCCTCTAGAAGACAAAAAACAATCCCAATCATGCAATACAGCAGTGATCATCCGTAGAACCCTTCAGAAGCACTGTTCAGCGTAGCCCAGCAACAGCTGGCACAGCGCACCACAGGAGGAAAGAATTATGTGAACATTTTCAGAGGTTTCTCAAAACACGACAATAACATTTTTGTAAAGAAAAACAGAGTTGTTAAATGTAACATTATGTTTTGCCTCCATATGTCTCAGCATAATTTCATATTAAAACCACATAACCGTTTTTTTTTATCTTGAGCATAACTGAATTATAGCAATCTCATACCATCAAAAATAATCACATACTGTATGCATTGGAAAACAGGAAGAAAAACTCTTTAATGCCTTTAATGAGCAATCTGATCTTGTCTTCATGCACTGGACTGTTAAATCTGGGCTGGAAATGATTAAAGGTCCACTCTGAGCTCCTTTGCCAGGACACTGGGGTAACACCCCTACTCTTTTCGGGAAACGCCCTAATATTTTTACTGACCACAAAGTGTCTGGATCACAGTTTTACATCTCATCCATAGAACAGCAACAAGATGTCTCCATGTCAGTCTCCTTTTAAGGTAGGAGACATATTATACAGGATATAATATGTTTTTCATTAACGTGAAGATTATTTTAAAAAGATGTATTGCTTGATAAACTATTTAGCACCTTTGAACACCTGCAGTGTTAATTCCAGTCTGAAAAGTAGAAAGAAGAAACACAGCATTTTGGCTATAGAGCTTTCTTCTGAATGGCCAACACAACAACAGTTCAGCCAAAAATTGATGTCTCCTCTTCTGCTTTTCAGCATGAAAGCAGCCTTTACTTGCTCCTTTGCAGCCAATATGTACTGACGCAGCTCCCCACTCAAACATCTTATTTAACAAATAAGCTTGCTGAACGTCATTTTATACTTGTGGAAATGAAAAGGTATATAGGTGAGATTACAATAATTGAGTATCATATACTGTATTCATTTTAAGCTTAAATCACTGTTTGTTCCCTGACAAAGACAAATTTGCTTAAAGCAGTGTGATCCATCACATACATGATCATTTGTGCTGGCTTTTTTATGCTATGAGTCACCCAAATTGATCAGTTATCATTCACCGTCTCTAAATATGTCAGTTTGGATGATTCATAATGTCAAGTATTTTGACTTACACAATGGTAAATCATTCATTTTCTGTTTTTGTCTGGTCTATGCTGACCCATCATAAATCTGATTCCCAAACAACAATGAACCAGGTTTTAGCTGAAAAACCAGCTATAAGACTTTCATACAAAAACAATCACAAAACCATCTTTGAAATTTACCATCATGACATCCTGCATTTACACCAGTACACTTAATATCAAGAAGACAATGGTGGAAAAATGAATACACACTGGCAATCAATGTTCGCCACATGATTTTTGTAAATCTTACTTTCTGTGCATTCTGCTCCATATGTACAGCAATGTTTTGGCTTGTTAGTGTAGACCAACCAACTACAAAGTGAGAAGGTTTCTCACAGCTAAATCAGTGTCTAATTAAGAGGAAAGAGTCATAGTGAAACAGTGCAAAAAAATGATTTTTAGGCTACTCAATATAATTTTATTCATGGCAATTATTCATGAGAATGTGTTCACTTAACACTACCCATAATCCAGAGGACTGTCTCCAACACATGTAAAAGCAACCTGACAAAACTGGGACTAAAGTTCCATAAAACCTAAAACTATCAATTTAGCAGAATCCATAGTCTAGATTCCGCTCCACATTGACTGGAAATCCTTAGATGATCAAGTGAAATGCAACTGTAAAAAGCACCACAACACAATATTGATTAAAATTATATTTTATGGTACAGTAGCTTCACCTTTCAAAACAAGTCACCAAATCAAAGTCTGCATCAAAGTGTAACATTTGCTAGGTCTATCAACTGAGCTGAACACAAAATATTGTTTTTTTGTTTTGGGGTGATGTTAGTGTAGTGTTAAAGACACCCCCTAGCTGATAGGAAACCGACTACACTCACCACATCCAACTACAATACATTCTGTAATCTATACAGATTCCGATTTGTTTGCATTGAAGAGTGGGTAAAAACATCCACAGGATACTGTGACGACTCACAGATTGCAGTACCTTTTGCACACTGTAACAGAAGTCACATGAGGGTTTATAATTGCTTTTACCCATGCACGAGACCCGATCTTGCAGTCATTACAAAATGGTCAAAGTCCTGGAGTCAACTTAGTGGTGGTGGGGAAAAAAAACCCATAAAATGAATCGTCATGAATTTTGAAAAATGGCCTTTTAAGAAAATGTGACACGTGCCCTTCTGTCATTGTATTGAAAAGCGTGATTTGTGATATACTTTCTTATACACTTTTATTTAAATCGAGAGCTCTAGGCAATCGAGAGGAAATCTTCATTGCAGGAAACTCAAAACAGTGAACGAAGAACAAAACAAAGTATCACAGCAAGACGAGGAATTTCAATATACCCAAAACAGATCTTAGATCTTTCCGTTCTAGCTTTAACGTGACAGACTTAACCTCTTCCGGGTTCTGCTCGGGGACACGGTGGTTACAATAATAAAGACACGAATCGCCTAACTCCCTCTTCTCTCACAGCGGCACTTACCTCCTCCACAGACAGACCCGAACGCTCCTCCCACACGCTGCCCGCCTGCGCCGGGCGCTCCAATGGTACTGGTCCGGGCTTCGCGAGCAACTTTCACTTTGGAAGGCAACAGCAGGTCTCGCGCGATTAGTGCTCACTGAACAGCTGCTGTTCTGTATGTTGTCTCGGCAGCGAACGCGTGGGGTTTACCGCTTCTCAATAGACTGTTACTCACATGATCGTATGTCACAGAGTATGAAAAGAAAGGTCCCAACACAACGAGAACCAATTCACTAAGTTATCTAGAACATGTTCATGTTGTAACAGGTGCACTTACAAGGGACAAAGGTAACCATGCTGATTAACATTTGGCATTAGTAGGGTTGATGAACAGGTGGTCTACGGACAAAGACACCGCCTAGTAAAAGAGTTGTGTGGCTACCATTGGAAGAAATAGGAGTTGTACATCAGTGACTGTACATTACTTTCCCCCGTTCCTCTTGCACAGCCCTAGTCACTCGTTTGTCTGTTCACGAGTCAATGAATCCCACAAAGCGATGCTCAACGGGGATCGAGTCTGGTCGGGAGAACATCTACGATATAACCGTGACAGTCTTGTCTTGCAAGTTACGAAAAGCATGAGCACATGCGTTGTTCTACTGGATGGTTCACGGCACGATGACAAAAACGGCAATAGGTGAGGTCGCAGGACTAGATCGATGTAGTACCTTATCACGTTCCCCTAAATCTCCCTTAGAGCCGTGTACCTGTTGGAACCTCTGGCCCAGACCAGCAGAAAGAAGAGGCGATTTCCGAGAGGTTGTGTGCCGAGCTGTCCCACGTCGCGGCCTGTCACTGACAGTCTGTCTGGTTAAGTCTCGCCAGGTCAGAAGTTGCTGGCTGTTAACAGCCCAGACGGCGAGCGACATCATTCACGAACGACTTCGTTTAGCTTCCAGCACACGCATGGTTCGAAGGCGTTGTTCGGTTCACAAACGGGGCATGCTGGTTCCCTTTTTTTGTTTTCGTGTTCCATCACAAGGCTTGAAATTCAAAGGATTACATCACCTCGTCACCTGCGCCCAGTCTACTTTCTAACGAAGCGATCCTGGCGTTTAAAAAAACGTGAATCGATCACAGTCAAGAGCGAGCAGTAATCAAAATGATGTAATAAAACCTAATATCCAAATTCTGCATACCTTTTCTAAATATATGCTGTTTCTTTCGATGTTCCGCATATGGAGATCTGATTTGTTAATTTTATAATGTACCCCTAGTCTAAATCCTGAAAGATGACAATTTTCCCCGAGCATGAACTGGTAATTCTACAATTCACAAAACATAAAAGTACTAACTGTGCTACAGAGCAGTCTTCATAATTTCTAACTAAACTTGTGGCCTCTGTAAAATGAAAAATAGTGAGTTTCATAACCTCAATAATAAACTTTAACGGATCTTATGGAAATATTTCCCCTGAAAACCGCATCGTTTGTAATCACAGCTGCACACATATCTAATGAGTTTTCAAACCAGGGTCCAGGCACCCCAATATTAAAGATATTTCACAATACAATCAGGTGTAAATCAAAGCTTTTCTACTACGTATGTACTTTCCTATTGCATCTTGACCTGACGTTATAAATGTAAGGGTTTTTCATCAATTTAAACGGGTTTCATTAAAAAAAGTATTTGAAACTCATGTTTAGCAGTCTACCACCATCTGCTAGTTTCCATTCTCAGAGCAGATGGGTAGTATTTTATTTTCTTGATTCAATATAAGATTGAGGATCAGGACTAATAGAACCTGCATTTTTTTCAAAATTGCCTTAAACAATTAGACAATCTGGTATTCTCAAATCTTCACTTGATTGCTATGCGTTCATAATTACTATGCATTTTGAATCTTTAGCCCGTTTTCCTTCGTGCATACTTGATACCGATTTCAATCCAACCTGAGTAACAGTTGTCAAATATTACTTGGAATGATTCAGATTTGCATTAAGGTGGTGCTAGACATGACACTAAAATGCAATACAAAATCCCACGGGTAACCAGAGATTACTCTGCACACCTCAAGAGAATGCATTACTTAAGTGAAAGATATAAAACACCTCATGACTTAAAACAAACGTCTTAGAGTTCACCAAAGACAACCTACTTTTGAAAGAATACATGTATTTCCCATATGCAGCCCTTGAAATTCACAGAACATGGATTTGTTGCATTTCAACCTTTATTAAATAGATTGAACACCTGCAATGGAAAAGAAGGGTCACATACTTCGTATCTCAGCAAAATTTTCCATAAAATACAAGATTACAAAAAACCTACTAAAGTTGCACACTGTAACAGTACAGTTCATAGGGACAGGTGGTCTTCAGGTCACTTGCTTGACTTGCCCATCTAAGAATGGGAAATGGCAAGGAAATCAATGTTTTTCCACCCGGAAAGGGAAAATATCCTGTTTAATTCAGCTCACTGTAACAGCAACACTACTTGTACCTGATAAGGTCTGAAAGGCCAGGCAATACCATCCTCCTTGTGTTCACAGCATTTTTTCAGAAAACCTTGTCAAGATATTTTAAAAAGAGACTGAGATACGTGCATGTTCGATTAAGTCTCCTCGGTAATTTATGGATCCAAGCAGAAAAGGGTGAATGTAAAATACTGAGGCAAATCAAATGAACGCTAAACAAAAACCAATCCACTCACCAGCTAGGTCACAGTTGCCCTGAAAAATGTGTTTTTTCCCCAAACTTTGACAGAATATAGTGTTAACAACACTCTCGAAAAAAGCGCATCTATTAAAAGGGTGGCATTTTCTTTATTACTCAGACTTGCAGCATATTCTACAGCAGGACTTCAGAAGTATGATGAAATGACAATCACCTTAACTTCTGACAGAAAAGGCCTGCGCATTGGTTAGCAATACTGCATATACTCCCTGAATGGTTAAGTGTAAAGATTACTTTTAACGTTAAAAATGCTTAGAGACAAGTAGAAAACAGGCTTTAGCAAGACCAATGAACTTTATCTAAGTCTACATTTGAGGGAAAAAAATGTGCACTACTTGATTGATTGATCAATCCTATTTATACAAGACATGAGCTCAATACACTGTTGAATTCTGATTACACATCTAACATGACCGGCAGGCTCTGAAGACACCCACCTCACCCCTGTTTTTGGTCCAATCAGTACATTAGAATATAACCCACAGAGAAAAAAAATCCTTTATGGAAATTCAATCTATAAAAGTATATTTACATTTCTTTATACAGCCCCTAGCCTTTTGTTAACTGAAAATAGCAAGGAAGAACAATTTACTAAATTTATTTTAAAAATCATAAAATGTTCCTTACAAAACGATTACATTCCGCACATTGTACTGAATGGATGCCTGGCACGTTTGAGCTACCAGTACTTTTGCCCATACAAACAGTGTACATACAGATGAGCTTACTCTAAATTACAGAAAACACATTACAATAATTCATCAAAACAAGTTTAACAAAAATAAAAAAAATTAAAAGAATCCACTCATTCTGCTGCTGTTTTGAAACTCCATACATTTAAAGTTCTAAGAATCTGGTTACATCAGATGGAAAAGAAGCAGAATTGGAAACTACACCCCAAATGCAGAACATCTACCTAAGCAGAGGAATGTTGGCTCTTAACAGAAGCAGGGACAAAACAAGCAGCGCGGTATTCCTTCAATCTTAATCTCCTCCTTTAGAAGAATCGACCAGAGTACTGCTTCACACTGAAATATAAAATAAACAAAACTGGATTTACAAGAATTTCTTCTGAACATCAGACAAGTAGAAGGCATCCATCACAGCAGTTAGTCCTGCCCCTTTAGAAGCAAGCTTGAAGAAGACTGTTAGAAAGGCATTCACGTTAGTAAGTAATGCGTGTGAAATGCTGCTTTCACCGAAAAAACGGTCACATTCTCTATTCATCCAGATGAGGCTAAGCCTGTGCCGTATGGTAGACTGTGATTTGTTGTCAATTCATCTAACTAAAAACAACAAAATCACTAGTCTTCCACACAGAACTAGGCCAACTTTCACCAGACCCTGTTCATTAGAAGTTGACTTTGCATGTGATCTTTTAAATCATTTCTGAATTTTGTTTTAACCTACAGCAGTTTCACAAAAAGGAGAAAGCTTTGTCAAGTTTTCCCCCACTGTTAGTAGACGTTAGTATATATTAGCAAAGAGGTAAGGAAACATTAATGGCAGACCAGAGTAAATAAGAACAAAAGCAGAAGACAACAGAACTCGCACAAGAAGACTTCAAAGATTACATTGAGCACTTACCTGTTCTGCAATAGGTACTGTGCATTTTGGATCTGGTCCTGCGTGCCAGTGATCGTGATTATGCGATCTTCAGATCCTTCCAGGGGCTCATCTATTTTAATGGATGCTCCAGACTCATGTCGGATTTGCTTGATTCTTTGCCCCCCTTTCCCGATTATTGATCCCGCCAACTGAAATAAACAATGGCACATCACAAACAAGGAAGATAGCAGACAGGTTGACTGAATTACATCATCAACTTTTATAGAATTCAGTTATTAGACTCACATCTTTTGGGATGGTAACTTGTGTCGTGATAACAGGCCCCCCTATGTCACCATAGGACCCACGACCACCTGCAAAGAACAAAAAGGAATGAACATTTTAGTCCTATGTGTCATTCCATCACCTCTAAATGTTTTACAAAGATATTTATGACTCCATGACCTTGATCACATTGTACAGCAAGACATTATCCCTTACAAGATCTGGACACGTCTCTATCAATATGAATAACTTGCAGAAAGAAAAAATGATTTTTCGAAAGTTGCAGCATTTCACATAGGTTACTACATGGAGAAAAATCTTAAATGTATACATTAAAAAAGGCATTTTATCAGAGTATTAAATATGATGCACATAAAAATAATAAGCATTAATACTCACCAGACTGGAAGGGTTCCCAGGATGAATTGTTATCTATAAAGCATACCACAATTAGATTAGTAATTAGCTACAAAAGCAGTAAAATAAACACTCTACTATCTAGACCTTCATACTGCACGTATTTTAAAACTTTTCTTTTTGTCCGTTTTATTTAGCAATTCAACGTCTGTGTAGTGTTAAAATTAGAACCCATGTCAAAATATCAAAACTAAAAACCCTGGTTTGCCAGCATTGGAACCAATTTGTTCTTTTAGTCTAATAATTAAATTGTCAGTGTGTATAAATGTACATGAAAAGCAGTTAAAGGGCACTCACCGTATCCACCCCCACTCTGTTGCATTTATGACATGAAAAGAAGAAAAAAAAAATGTAAGTCTCATGACAATTTCAACAATATTTGATTGTGTGGCTGCCTCATCATATATTTAACATTATAATGTAACACACTTTAACACAAGACAAGAAACAACTGGTAAATACGAAATACCCCCCCCCAAAAATCCAGAATCAGCCTCTATTTTTAACAGAAGAGAAAAAAAAAATCAACTTGACATTCACTTTACAATGAAAGCCTGACTACCGAAGCTGCAGTACGAATCTCTTTCAGGGCTTGTTTACAGTCGCATGCTTTTTTTGTATGTACTCAGCATTCATTGTGGGGTTTGATGGCTTTCACCGACGTATTCAGCTGCTCCTTGGTAGTCAAGGAAACAGGTAATTCAAAAATACGTTGCCTAGCAATGGAAAGCGGAGCCAGCCGGCTCCCTGCATGTTACAGATTGTGAAGTAAAGATCCGTCTGATGTCAGGAGCAATATTTAAATTTGACATCTTTTTTGCACTACACTGAATTAAACCGGTCTTGTCAAATCACAAACTGCACCCTCATTGTTTATTTGGGCATGGTCACTTGTAAAGAGATCACTGTGTTTCTGTAATTCTCAGCATGATACTGATGACATTTGCTTTTCTAAAACAAATGCAGTTATTAACAGCATGTTTCTAAACATTTAGAGCTCCTACAATATATCTTCACTCATTTTAAATGAAAGAAAAAGTTGAGAAGATGTTTATTATTCCACTGAAAATGACTTGAGCCTACTAGGGTTCTAACCAGCCATGACCATCAGCTATTAGAATCTAAATATTTTCTAAACCCTTCAGTGAAATATTTATGTTTCTTATAGAAAGGTATGGATTTATTTGCTCAATATAGTAAAGATGACAAACTATCCAGTTTTACAATCACTGTTCTCTTGATCATCTCTTTTCCACAAAATGTAACTACTGACAGACCAGGTAAATTCCTAAATTTCACTTAAAAGTTTTAATAAACACTTACACTTACAAGAAAAGTACACACAAAAAAGGATACACTGGCTAGGCACCATACTCGAGTGACATTTATGTGGTTGGATACATCCAATTAAAAGCCTGTTTCCCTCAGTGCGCTTGGTGACCATTACAAATGTAATGACAGTACGTAACGGATACATCATATTACTCAGTTGTGTGCAATGCTTACAGTTAAAATAAAACTGTAAAATGCAAGGGGTCTTAAAACTAGAACTATATGATATAGCCGTACTTGTAACTGTTCAAGACATTCTTAGACTTAGCTTTTTGAAACTACAAGGGAAATTACAGCATGTCAGAAGTCTCAAAAGAATTGTTAAAATAATTTGAAAATAAAATAAAGACTTCTAACAGTTGTATAGAGCTGCAGTTGTTGGCTAACTTCAACATTAAGCAGCAATAAATCAACTTCTTTGGTGCCAATCTTTGTCCAAAATAATGACTATAAAAACAAGTTGACATTTTTTTTTAAATGTATTTGGCAACACAGAATGTGTGTGTGTGAGCCAAGCTCGATATGAACCTAAGGGCTTTGTGGGAGATCAAAAATGCATAACAAACACAACCTTTGAATTCCACCTTTTATATTTACCCTCAACAACTGGTTTCATAATTAAGTGCAGATTTTAATAAACCACAGTACAAAACTCAGGCTTAATACCCGAATTCAATAACAAAAAGCGATCACCTTACCATTCCATCATAGCGATCACCAGGCCTCCCTCTTCTGTCATTACTTAAAGAAAAAAACATTTGAAAATTTAAGAAAACCTTCAATTCATTCTCACTGCAAAAAAATCATGAAATGTAATGAAAATAGTTTTTCATATTTCATAAGAGCCCTTTTCACCTCAACCTTGTTCCTTAGATGTAATCCATAAAAATATTTTTGTAAGTGATTTTTACCATGTCCTAAAATTATTAGGTTATTTGCAACTTACATACAGCTTCTAATCAAGATATCATCCTTGGAGCATTAAAGTGATTTACTGAGCGGTACTAAGTCATAAACCTAGTAGAGGAAAAAAATAATTGTTTTATTCAAACTGTTATGTCCAGTATACGTGTCCCAAGCAATAAATGTTCACATTTTTATTTATTAATTCCAATGGGAAAACAAGCAGTTACTGCAGTAAAATATATTCTTCAAATACTTAAATATAAATTCTGTGCAATAGTAATAGTGAAATTCAATCTAGAAGGAAAAATATTAAACAAATTTAATGCGTTTTTGCATTATGCACAAATTTCGTTGTAAAATAAACAGGAAAAAGATAAAAAGGTAGTAGTGAATACCAACCTTAAGGTTAAGGTGAAACCATACACATTTCAACACTGCATAACTGAAAAACCTTTTTTTACCGTAAAAGGCGTAAGACGTGCACCAAACCTGCATCAGGAGTTTTAAAATATACTTGGATGACAACACAATGGAGCCGAAGAGATCAAAGGCAGTACAGGGGTGAAAAGATTAGTACCATGAACCCATGGTGAAGACTAGATGAACACTTTGGTAAAATAATCAGGTTATCAGAGGTGGGTTTTACCACATCTGATCAGTATTGTCTCTGGAGCTCCTTTATACGATCATTTATCCACCAGGGAGCATTTCGTAGTAGGACATAAGAAGCAAGATTTAATTCTTCATGACCTTGTAAGCACTGGACTTTTTGTATATCCATCATAATGAAAGGGGGAATGCTTAACCCCACATGCCTCCAACATGGAAAGCATTGTGAAAACAGACATGACCACAAACCTCTTACTCTTCCAAGAATGCATTTAAACACATTGTAATTTTCTGAAAAATACACCTGAATAAAAGACAGCACCTTTGTCCCATTACCCTGCAATATGGACACAGCCGTGGGGAAAACAACTTACTTTCGTCCGTCGTCTGCATGGGCATGATAGGTCTCGTAGGAAAACTGCTCATCTCTGCAAACAATTTGAGAATGGGGTACATACAACCTTGTGACTTTATAGTTTGTGAAGACTTTGGCTTTACCGTTTGTGTACTTTAACAAGAGTACAGCTAGCTGGAGTACTTTGATAGTCCTGCAAACCTATTTTGGCAGAAGCTGGAGGGAAAGAAAAATCCCACACAGATTTACGAATTATATGCCAACATTTGTGTGGGATGAGAATTTGACAGATATGCATTGTATACGATAAAGGCAGACCTTTTACACACAAAGACAAAATGTTAAATCTATGAACAAGCAATCATCCAATTAAATAAATGCAAACAGTATATTTTAAAACTCCACTTTGGCCTTATATCTTCTTTTGAAGCTATATTCTCAAGACATTAGCTGGACCACAAAATAAACACTGCAGGCGAACAAACAGCAAAACTGTAAATTTACAGTGACAGTTGTTAACCTCCCCATGATGCTATGAGCTTCCTTATGAGGTAGTCATCTTACCCTCCTCTGGGCGGTGGTGGGGGAGGCAGGGGCAGGTTACGAGCTCTGCTGCCTCCTCGGCCTCCTCTTCCTGGGGGAGGCGGCGGAGGTCCTCTACGGGGGCTCATATCATCATAATCCCTTCTCGACGGAGGCATGGGTCGACCACCTCGGCCAGGGGGCATGCGGTCAAACCCTCCTCGACCTCGCATGGGAAAACCCATTGGACGCCTTCCACGGTCGTCATACATCATGGTGAAGCCGCCATAGTCATAAGTTTCATCGTAGAAGTTTGGGTCATAAGGCTGGGCACGTCCTTTAATTGGGGCCTAAAAAGATAATTAATTGCAGGCTAGGAAAAAACAGAAGGGTGCTCAAGTCCATCTAAGGTACCTACTGAATTAAGGGCACCATTTAAATTTAAAATATAATGGCTGTAATGAGTTTTCATAATTGCACCACAAAGAACCCTATTTTATTCAGAAAATCATTCTCATCTCTACAAGATACTGATATCTGAAAACAGAAAGCTTCCTCAACCTACCTCAGATATTAATTCCAGGATGATTTTGATGCACTCCACCACACGGTCAGGTTTTCCCCCAACAAGCACTACTCTGTCAGTGGAATGAGGACAACACTCCTGAAAGAGCTTGATTGTTGTTTGCGTATTCTGAAATTAGAAAAGTAAGATACAATTTAATTCCAAAGAAACCCCCAAAATATTTATTTTATACCAAACGCTTAAAATCTTTCTTCTCCTCTGAAGGAACAAAACCCCCCAAATTCAGTGAAGCTTTTATTCACAATATAAATTAACATAGCTTGGTCATATAGCTCACCATTTTATTAACGTAGGTCATGAATTTTATTCTACTCATGGGGTCTAGAAATTCATCATAAAATGTATAAATTAATGGGCAGCTCTTGATGCATTGCCTGTGCCAGACTCCACGTAGCCCAACCGCAGTGCAACATGTACCACAGCAAGCTTATTATCTCTAATTACCAAATATCACAAACGACAGGTGCTGCATAAATATTCAGTGTCAATATCCCCCAAGGCATCTGGGTCATTGGCATTTATATAAACTGAGGAGCTGATGAATTCAGCTTGGATCAGTAGAAATTCAATGTCAGAATACCATTTCAACACATGAACAGAACAGTGCTTAATAGATAAGTATATTGCTAAATACATTTCAAGTAAAAAAATGTCAGACAGCCTTTTCATAAATTACCAACAAAGAATGTCTTTAATAGATGGCTATACTGCTGATGACAGATTTACAAATTATTCTCTTAATCTAAAAAGTCAAATATAATCAAGATTGAATTTCAAAAATTGAGATACTTAGCAGATTCAATAAATGGGAACTTCATAAAAATTAAACAATTCTCACAGCTTATATTAATTCACTAAAAAAACAAAATCCTTAAATTGTTTAAGTGCCTATACTTTTACAGTAATGATTCAAAACAAAAACTTACAAGTTAAAATATCAAAGCGCTAGACAAATACTTACCTCTCTCAGCTCTTTAATCTTGGCTCCTTTGACTCCAATGATGCCCCCTGCTAGACTCTGATGAATGAGAAGTCTCAGCTCACAATCGAAATCAATTCCTTTGTAATGCTGGTACTACACAAATACAAAAACAAACATTAGCATACAAAAAACAGAGAGAGAGATGAGAATCTGCAGATAGTATCCATCACTAAAATAAAAACTGAAGCATTTTTTAGAACCTTTAGCAATTAAATGGAAGCACTTATAATTAACAACAATACAAATCAATCACAGATAAACTACTGCATAAAATGGAAACAGACAAGAAAAAAATGACTCATAAAACCTTTCACGACCTTGAAAGAAAAATGCATTTCAACAATCTTCATCCACATTTATTATCAAATGAAGTCCCACCCCTTACTGCCCATTGGAGACACACTATCGTCCTTTAGGGAATAAAAGCAATCACCTCTTCCAAAGTAGGAATGATCTTCAGCAGAATCTCTCCAATTGTCTCAATGTCCGCACTGATGCTCAGAATACTTTTTAAAACAATTTACGTCACAAGAAATGGGGGGAAAAAAGACAAAAATAAAAGGGGGGAAAGAAAGAGAAAAAAAGTTTTTAGATAAAGTGCTATGAAATTCTAATATCAAAGAGCACAAATGTATGCAGCCCATACTTTAATTTTAGGAATGTAGAACATATTTTAACGGTTCCCCCCAGTCACTAATACAGGACTCCAATACAAGTTAAGAACATGCATTTGTATCCTCACATTTAATAAATAAAACAATGGCAGGTCTTGCAGAATGGGAAAGTGGAAGGGCTCAGATTAAGTGGGCAAGAACATAGCGGAGAGGAGACTCTGGAAATTCTTTTACAACCCCCACCACCAGGAATTTTGGAAAGTCTCGCCATCACATTTGTAACACTGGCACACCTTCTCATAAGGGGAGGGAGGGGATAAAAAAAGCAGGAAAGTATGCAAAGTGGTGAACACTGTAGCCGGACAGAAAACTGGAGCAAGGTTATGAGAAGTTGGAAGATAACAGTATTACTGATGGGCCCTGTGAGAACCAAACAAGAATGCAGGACAAAAAAAAACAAAACAGACAGTAATGAGTAGTGAAAGAGTGGGCAGAGCGCTAGCATATTTTCTTCAAGATTATGGAGAGGTGATGTTGGGGGGGGGGGGGGGGGGGAAGGGGCACAGGAAGGGGGGAGCAAGGTGGGCCACAAGGACAGAGCGAGAAAGACTGCTTTCAACAATTCATGATTAATAACGCAGCAAAAATATGCAACACTTCAAGCTGTGCTCCTTCCATTCAAATGAAGTAGTGGATTTCTCCGAGTGGGCAACTCACGTGAAACTCCAGTGACAAAAAAAAACAAACTAAAAAAAGACTTCATGGGGAAAATAAGACAGAAAAACTAAAAACAGTACACCGTTTTGAAAAGGGGATTACTATTCCAAAAACAAAAAAAAAAAACAAAGGCAGGTTATAAAATACATTTTTCTCTTTCTAATCAGGCAGTGAGGCATAAACTGTTGGGACATACCGCTCGGGGCCACTGCTGTCTGGGACTGATACACTGGCATTGTACTGCATTGGTCATTGGCGTTCGTGGATGTTGGCATTGGGCAAGGGCATTCAATCAGAAGTTGTCAAGTAAGGTGCCCGTTTGGGAATGAGCACATTTATGGGCATGGCCAACCGGGGAGTCACATGGGCGTTCAGGGGCGGATGGGCCAACATCATGATGGGCAACGCAGGGGCATGTCGATCCAGTACATGGGCAACGGAGATAGGTGGCCAAAAATAAAAAAAAATAAAAAAGGAGAGGGAAGAGGGGGAAAAGGAATAAATTTTAATTGAATACAAACTATACTCATCACTATGATATTCTCTACAAGAGGCTGTGAAGAATGAACAAGTACACTTGACTGCATTGCCGCTATACACTGAACAAGTTAATCGAATGGACCATCGGACTGTCGTTTAGAACTAGAATTAAAATAAGTCATCTTAAAAACAACCTATAGGTCTGCTCAAGAGTTCAGGCAATTGCTTGGGGGGTGGGGGGTTATGGCATTAGATGTGTAGACTAAAACTCCCATGAACTTTATTCCAGGTAAAAAGGAGTTTGTACAGTCCTCCAACTAATCATTTTGTGAAGAATACTGCTCATAATGATGTATTTTCACATCAGCCAACCTATATAAATTCACTTGGACAGCTGCTAAAATGCTTTCCAAATGAAATTGCTCTCTTAAAACCAGTTTTGTACACAGAGCTAAAATGCATTAATGACCCGCTGTATTCTGCATGCATGTTAATGTACACTCTTGACGACAATGTCACAAAGGAAGAATGAAACGGCTAGATTTTAGCCAAGATCAGGTTTGCCTAATTAGAAAGAAATGTACATTAAACGGGCGTTTCTGTATTTTGTGTTGCTCATTAAGATTAATTAATTTAGCGAAAAATTATGGAATTATGTTAGTACTTGGAATTACTGAACAAAAAAGCCATTTGGAAGGATCAGTAAAAGCCTCTAATTAGGTCTGATCCCAAATCAAAACAGACGGCTGGCTAACGTACTCCGCCTGCCCCCTCCCTTATTTTCCCTTTATTCATAAGCAAATATTACCAAAGGGTCTTTACATCCAAAGAACACATCAGAAAAATTCAAACGATCCTTTATTCTTAAGAAATACTCACGTCCGTACGGAGGGCTTTAATGTTTTTTCCACCCTTTCCAATCACAGCGCCTGCATTCTTTGATAAAACAAAGTGAAGTTACAACAATATTTCAGAATAATCACATAATTCTAGCATAATGCTGACCAATTTGTTTTTAAAATCAGTTCTAAAAACTTACTTTGCTTTGAAGCAGGACTCGCAATTCTACCATTTCATCGGTGTTACGAGACCTCTTAAAGACTTGCTCTTCCTCCATGTCTTCTGCCGGGCGTTTTCCTAAGAAAAATTGACATCTATTGCTGACAGAGTGGTGGCTATTTCTTCAAGCCTGATTTAGCTAAATTCGGTTAATCAGCAGCGGAAAAAAAAAATAAGAGCAAAGGCCATCACTAACTTTGAAATGAACATTGTGAGAAAATGGACATATTTGCTCTATAAGTAATCACCACCGCTATAAATTTATGCAATGGCCAGAACAAAAGCAATGCCTTTCATTTTATTGTGCATCAAACAAAACAAGAGGCTTTACTTTTGTAGCAACCCACATTAAAAAAAAACTGCACCCTGAAATTTGTTTTATCTAATGATGACTACTTTTCACAATTATATGCAAAATATTTGACTTCCATATTTTAATTATATGGCTGTCATGCTATCAGCTGTTGTAACACCTCAAACATCAAATAAGCGTGTGGCATTTACATCAGAAAAGATGAAAAGGGGGTTATTGAAGCGTAGTAAAAATTTAATTGCTCAACCATTGTACGTCAAATAACTGATCCTTCGTATAATGTATTCTAGATTACAATGTGTCTTTTGAAAAGCTCATCTGCAAACTGGAAGGACTGGAAATGCTTGAAATTATCCAGTTAGTTCAATAACCATTACAGCCAACATAAATTGAAAACACTGAAAACTAAAGGGCTGAATTTAATTAGCAAGCTTTATCTCTGGAAGCACAGTGAACCTTTGCTTGTGATATTGCCATGGTAACCAAAGACCCTCATTCTGTGCGACCATTTTCATGAACCATCCTTCTTTTCAGACACAGGACAAAAGCTGATGATTGTCTATTTACAGAACATTAGTGAAAGTCCATTTAATCTTTTTTTCCCATACAGTGATAAGGGGGTTCTTTTTTCCTGAGCCTTTTAATAAAAAAACGAGAAACATCCATCCGATGTACCGTTATGGATATAATTTCTGAATCTTTCTGAATGTGTTTTAGCTCTGCATTTATTTGGATGGTGCATTTCTTAGTAGAAATTTCTCTCTCGATTATAGGATTCAGATTAATCTACAGTTTTGTTTTACTTTTACACAGAGTAAAACGTGACTTGTAGAAAATCAATACAAGCAAAACTCATGATTTACCGGTAGGAAAATTGTTTAAAAAAATAAACTGCTAACAAATCATAGAAACCATCCCTTGTTGAAAACTAGGGAACAAAACACTTCTCTGAAAAAAGCACCAACCTGGAAAAGAACATTTCATTGCCGAACAAGAATCCGTACTCGGGGACGAGCACCGAAGACGCTGGCAATGTCACGTCAATCTGCCTTACCGTTTGTCTCTGTGTTGCTGAATGTAGTCTCTTCTTCCTGCTGTTCAATTTCAGTCTCCATTGTCTTTTAACGAAGATGAAATGAAAGTGGGCTCTTCTCTCGGCGAAAGTGCTGAAAGCGACCATGGTAAATTTTAGCTTTACATAGAGGAAAAACACCCGAAATTACCAATGTTGGAAGCGATTGATTTCGCCTCAAGCACTTACCACTATTTATTCTGGTTTAATGGGCGTGTTGTGGGCGGGAACTACTGAGGTCTCCAAGAACTGCTTAAAACCTATCACGAATAAAAAAAAAACATTGAATCACTGTCTTTCCGTTTACTTGATCATTTCCATTTACCTGTTGCAGCGTTTTGATGCAACACACACATCTCGTTTAATAAGCAGGCACTGAACAGGAGTAAAACTACTAAAATTCAATATATATATATTAAATCACACTGGAGGCAGGGGGACTGAAGGGCCATGTTACAGTTTAATGCTACACGATAACCTGGGTATGCAAAAAATGATTTGCTGCTAGGGTAAAAGAGTTTCCGCCAACCTAATGACCGATATACAGTTTGTAGCTAAGCGAACAAGGCAAAAAATAATACCAAAAAGGACGGAATTTAGTAATCGCCATATCTTACACAGGAAATTTCTAGAATTTAAAAGCAATGCTAAAATAAAAAATACAGTAACCTCTGAGAATGATCACTGTAGCCTAACGCAGAGCCCACAGCAGCGAGCTCCGCACAGCAAAAATAAAAGCTGCACCGCTGGAAACGAAATGGCTGCTGCATCTAGCAGAAACATAGCTGCCACAGATAGACCAACCAATGCAAATCGCCAGGAGAACGCGGGGAAACGACAGTGGGATCATTTTTAATCATGAACATCGTTATTCTCTGTATTTATATTAACTGCATACGTGCGAGCTGTAACAATCTCGCTCACTCGTAAGCCCCTCCGGTTTCGGACAAAGACCTCGCTCGCCTGCCTGCCTTACGATGACTGCACACGTACAGCAGGCCCCATATTCTCAGACCTCAGGCGAAAGACAAATGATGTGCCCGATGAATTTCACTCCGATGTCGGAATAGTCATATTTATCGATGATCACATTTATCTGCCGCCCACCCCTGGAAAAGGCCAAACCCAGGAGAATCCCACTCCCGTTCACATTCCCACCGGCAACCCGATTCCTCCAAGCAGGAAGGCCTGTAACATCTCATGCGCAGCTGCCTCTCGGAAGGGTTTGATTAGCAAAAGAAAAACGCTTCTGTCGCCCAGAGCTCATTTCTCCCGGGAAATAGCCCCTTACAAATCGCATCAACCTACTCACAAGTTCTTGGTTGAAATAATTAATATAAACCTCGACTGCGATTACGAATAGATACACAAACTTCTCGTTTCATCATACTGCTAGCACGCCTGAGGCTGAGTCAACGGCCTTAAAAGGATCTTATTCTGTGGAGGATTTGCGATTGAATTTCTGAGTGTTCAATGTCATCCCTGCGATATTTTCCCCATATTATCGTGCTCTACTTTCTCCAGATTAAAGCAATCGTTGAAATCGACACATTAAATTTACCAAAACAAATATTACTAACCTGCTTGCAGACCCGTACTGCTTTCGAGTCCCTCCACCGACAGGCTTTACAACCAACCATGATAGTATCCAAGTTTCGCCTCGACCGGCGATTCAGCCCTCTGATTGGTGGTTACTGGGGCTTTGGCGGAGGATCGCGGAACTCTATTGGACAGTAGGACTGTCGCACAGCAGGAAGAAGAATTTCGGGGTGTGGCTAACACTGAAATCTGGTAGTTTGGTTGTTCGTAAGAATTGTGTATTAATGCGGCTGTGCTTGTGTCTGTCCTCGTGGTGTCTGTGTATGAAACTTAATTTTATTTAGTGTAGGATGTTTTGCACTAGGTTTTAGTATTCCTGATGAAATATTACCAGAACTAAGCCGGCTTTTCCAAATCGTCCGTCTCGCGTTGTTTTCTTTGACTAGTTTGGCGCCTGAACTTCTTTTCGACTGTGGAACAGCTGCAACGTCTGCAGATGGAAAGGGTAATCAAGATGGGTCTATTTAGTATGTAGTAAAAATAGTTTTTAGATGAAGAAGTTCTAATTATTACTATTGCATTATAATAGTGCTAAACAGTTGTAATTATTAAAATGTACTGTTGTGGTTTAAACGGAGCTTGGTAAACCTTGAAATTTACACCGAAGACAGGTATATTTATGGAGTGAGAATCGAAATAAACTTTCATTACGTACAACTGAAACAAATTCACCAAGCTATAATCAAGAAAACGATAAGCCTCTTGTAGCAGGTTCACTGAGATTGTATTGAATACACATGACACCGGCAAATTTCTCTGGGCGAGATAGGGAGTTTACTGAACAAGTCACAGGCTAGTGCGATTGACTGGCACTGAAAGCAGTGCCAGGCAGCACTTGTGTACAAATGCTGGGTTGTGGCCTGTTCCTCCTATAGAAAGCTGTTGTTGCACAGTCGGTGTGAGAATGTTTATTGTCCTGGTGGAGTGCTGTCAGTGAGGTCCCCGGACTTGATCGGTGTAGCGCTGTGTAATCAACCCAGCACCAAGCACAGTTCTGTTGCGACTAGACACTCCTGGCCAGAACATTGTATACCCCTTGCTCAGGAATCTTAACTATTAGCCTTCCAGATTGTGTCCTGTCATTGACAAAGTATGTTTGGCTGTAATATTCTGCCAGGTTAGAAATTGCGGGCTGCCTCCGAAAACTGCAGATGGCGAGCAACATTGCAGGATGGGTTACCAATAGCAGGAAAGCGTTCTATTGGTAAGCAAAGCATGTTAGTTCCTTTCTGTGTTCACCTATTCTATATTCTCCAGTCCGGACCCGTCAGCTCGAGGTAATCTAGTGCTTATGCAACAGTCTGTTGAGCGTATCATGGTCATGAATGATCAATACACTGAAGAAGATTAAATCAATAGTCAAAATTAATATTGTATAGCTGTTTTAAAACATGCATATGTAGTGATGCATGTTTTTTGATGCAGTTACAGTATATATTATTGTAGAAACAAGTGAAGATTAATTTCAGACTGAAAACTACAAAGAAGAAACAAAACAATACGGCTTTTAAACCTTCTTCAGGATGATTTATCTGAATTATTATTATCTATTAATAGTAACAATAACTATTATTATTATTATTATTATTATTATTATTATTATTATTATTATCTGAATTATCCCCCTTGTAAAAACTTTACATGGTCCTTTGCGGCCAATATACACTCATGCACGGATATTTCGAGTTTCTCATTTTGAGGAGTCATTTTCTCCATGGAGTTGTTTAATGGCTTTCTGCATTGTCTAATGAAAAGGCTGTCAATTGCTAGACCCAGTGTGACATCAGAAAGCAATACATGGATGTCTAGCATTATCTGATGTACCAGAGATTTAAAGTGATGAACAGGGACAATTCAGATAAGCACTCAAAATAGATTTTAGCAGTTATAAAGATAGTGCTTTGGAAAGAACATTGTATGCAGAAATTTTGTTTTTTTAATGTTAGAGACTCTTTTAGACATCCTTCTAGAGTTAATTTTTAACCTCATCGGTTTTAGTTCCATAGTTTGCTATTGTGTTACTGCCAAAGGCAACGTTTTTAAGTTTTCTTTTAAATGCACCTTTTAAGTCAGTGGTTCACAACCTTAGTCTCAGGGGATGTTCTGTTTTTGTGCCTCTGCCAAGTTCTTAACTGCAGTAATTTATTACAATTTTATGTTTTGAGCATGTTTTTAATTTTGCTTTTAGCTCTTAAGACGTTGACTTGGCTTTGTAGTTGATATCAACCCTATACTAATTTCTGAGTTTCAGCAATTTTTCTTGTGTTTTGCCTGCAGTGTAGCCAACTAGATTAATACGTTGTCTTTATCATAGATACCTGTCTGTATCATAGATTGATCTTATAGTAATGCCCGTTTAGTCAGAATTAAGGGTAGTAAGTATACTTGAAGCAGATTGTTTTAGAAACATGGGGCTTAATGCAGAAACAGGCATTTAATTTAATCAGATCAGTTCAATGCACAAATCAGCGCTGGTGATTTAGAGCTCAGTTGGGCTGAAAATCAGTTAGTAGAAATAGGTACAATACATGTTTTTGTTGTCTCTAATCAGGAGGGAAAAGTGCGTCCCTATAGTTTTACTGGACAGTCTGTTAAATCTAGCTGTAAATATCCTGAGCATGATTGTCTGCAGGATACTCATGTTAAAGCTCAGACTAATACTATATGTAAAAAATAACTAATGTTACACCCTTTGATTCCTTCCAGAATTTCTGTAGTTGTGAAGGAAAAGAATCTCCTTCTCCAGCTGAAGGAACTTTGAAGATGAATACACCTGGCTTTGTAAACAGAGCGAAGGCTTGGCTGCAGTCAGCATGGCATATCCAAGTCCCTTTCCACTGGCTTGAAGCTTGTATAAATTGGATTCAACAGGACAATGCAGGCACAGTCCTGACACAAGCTGAAATCAACAAACAAGTCTTGGAGCAGTGGCTTCTTACTGATCTGAGAGACCTGGAACAACCCATTCTGCCCAGAGGTATCTCAGAGGCAGCCAAAGTGGAAATTAATGGGTTTTATTGTCTACAAATAGACTCACTTTTAGATGTGAGCCAGCCTGCATACAGCCAAATCCAGAAGCTGAAAGGCAAAGACTTCACAAATGAAAATGTAACAGCAGTCACACAAGTGTCTCAGAAGCCCTGGGAAGCAAAACCTTTGCGAATGCTGATGCTACAGCTGACTGATGGAGTACAGCAGCTCCAGGGAATGGAATACCAACCTATCCCTGATCTTCATGCCAATCTAAGTCCAGGTTCAAAAATTCTGCTGCAAGGGAAAATTGTTTGCCGCCTAGGAGTTCTCTTGCTCACACCTTTGAATGTCAAAGTAATTGGAGGAGAAGTAGAGGGTCTTGTTGAAGAATTTTCTCAAGAAAGAGTGCTCAGCAGGGTACTTGGTGAGACAGAAAATGCCGTGCAAAGACCCAGCAGTCAGGACAGAGAGATGCCAAATGTAGACGAAGGCTTTGAAAATCTTACAAGCCCTTCAGGTGAGGAGCTTCTTGCCAGTATCGAAACAGTTGATCAATTAGCGATGAGTAATGTTGTGGGTCATGACAGTGGATATGGTAGCAGGAGTGAAGTTTCAAGTGTCTTGACTCGAAACTCTACCTTGCAAAGCTACCACTCAGGTTTGAGTGTGCCAGAATCCCAGACAACACAAATGGTGCCAGAAAGGGCCAGTGAGGAAGTTCTAGAACTTGATGATGCTGACTTTGATGATATTCCAGTAGATGACTTGGATGATGTCATTTACTTGGAGGACTCACCACCTGAATTTGAGACTCCATCAACGGAGCAGAGCTTTCTGTGCAATCAGATGACCATGAGCGGTAATTCTAATATAAACTCCAGAAATGTACCTTCAACACTTAACCTGACTAATAATATGGTAGAAGTGCCAGAAAATGTCTCCGGTGAAAGGATTGTTTCCATAAGACCCCAAATCAGAACTATGACCAATGATGGAAACAGTATAGAAGTCCCTGAATTATTAGAAGGTTCTCTAACTGTTCCTGTAGAAATGAGTAAGTTGCGCTCTGTGTGTGAAAGTTCTGCAATCCCTTCTCACAGTGCTTCAGGAGTAAACATAAAGCCCGTTGTAAAATGTCAGTCTTTTGAAAACTGGCAGTTGGGATCTGCAGTACATTATGAGTCATGTGAAGAAGAAGAATCTGTGCCTTTACAAACGGACGTTAACTTCCAACCCGAAATGAAGGTCGATCTAAACTCTTGTCCATTCTCTTATCTGTCAGTGCTACTAGGAGAAAAAACAGCCATAGTTAAGGTTGTGAAAGTGAAAGCATTCATAGTTACTCTTCTGGGAAGTCTTTCAAGCAGCTCTGGAAGCTGGCATATAAAAGTCAAAATTTCTGATGGAACTGATTATTTAGATGTGGATCTTTCTAATGAAGTTCTTGTGAGCCTGATTGGATTCACCGTAGAAGAAACAAAGAAGATGAAAAAGGACCCAGACCAACGTAAAAGGGTGACAGCAGGACTCCAGAAATGTCAGCAAGAACTTATAGATCTCTGCTGTATCATGACAATTGAATATGACCCATGTAATTCTAAGGCAGTGTTGCTGGGTTTGCAAGATGTCACTTTGGAGGACTACAATAATCTGGAAAAGCGTCTGCAAAATAAAAGTCGATATTAAGTAATGTAGCTTTTTTTGCCTTGGTGGAAAGATCCATATACACTACAAGCACAAAATGTCTTGGTCTGCCAAAATTATTATTTTAAATAAAATGCCTTTTCTGTTTTATGGTTTCTTTAAATGTTAGACAGCATATTTTGCATGTCAAAATCTACAGTTCTTTAAATCAAGATATTCTGAAATGCAGTGGCAACTTTACAGTTCAGAATTGTGAACGGTAATGTTTTTACATTGCAGCATTTGGAGACAACTATAATACTGGCAGTACAAAAACAACATGAAAAAGTAAAAATGTGAATGTCATGAAAATAACACTTCAATAAAAAGCACTTGAATATTTTTTCATATTGTATCCTAGTTTAGTAGTTGTAACTCATTAAAGCACACATTTCTGCAGAGCAAATAGTTATTATAGATAACTGGTGTGAGAGTTCTAACCATAAACTGATTTTACTTGGTTTTATTTTGTCTTAAACTAAATAATGTTTAAGAAACAATTGAAGGGTGTAGATCCAGCTAGTGTAATGTAAAATTGTAAAATGAAAAATTAGTCTTATGTGCAATGAAATCCAAAGACCCGGTGAGCCATGAGATCTGTAAATATAGTGCTATGCAGTGGGAGTTAAAAATGTTAAAAATAAAACAAATTTTAAATATATGGATTAATAGTCCTTTCAGTAGTGACACAAGTAACACAAAAAATATAAAAGGAAAGTTTGCATCACTTCTTACCTTTAGTGTTGACATACAAATTGTAACGTATATGGCCGTCAGTGGTGTAAAAGAGCTGGCTTACCAGAGCGGTGACGTCACCGCCCTTCCCTGTGATAGCAGGACTACAGCCACTGGGCTGTAGAGAGATCTCTCTTTAGCTCAACAAGCCGGGTCCCTGTTGAGTGACGCCGGAGGCCTGGGTTCGAGTCCCCCACGGTGTGGGGCCGACCTGTGTAGGCAGAAGGCAAGGGCACCCGCCGGAACCCCGAATCGTTACAATATATAATTCAGGTGGGTAGCTGCAGCAACATGCGTAGTCTGCGAAGGAACAAGTAATAGGTTTATTCCATGCTGAAAAGAGAAGAAAAAACAACATTTTGGCTGTGCAGCCTTCTTCGGGAGTGCGAAAGACAGGGCAGACAGCAAAGATTAAATAGTCTAGGACAGTGGTTCTCAAACTTTTTGGACCAAGTACCACCCCTAATCCAACCAAAGCATCCAAGTACCTACAAGTCATCTTCTCATAGGAACCCCAGAAATTCTCAATGACCAACATGAGCGTGCGTGCACACACTCACACATACATATAATAAATATTATAATAATAAACTTAATTTGATATAGCGCCTTTAAAGGTGGCAACTCAAAGTGTTTTACAGAAAAAAAACAACAACAACTAATAAAAAAGCACCATTTCAGTGAGAGGGGTGAGCCTGTTTAGTTGAGCAAAGCAGATGTGAATTAATTTTTCGAGCCTTGATACAATTCACAACTGAGTCTAACAGATATTAAATCGTCAGGCATTTTCTTGACGGCAAAGGTCTCGCGGTGGATGTTGTAATGCGTACATTAATTTCTGGAGCAACCTCTCTAATTCGTGCAACTGCACCATTATGTCGGCTTGTAATGGCTCTAGCACCATCTGTGCAAACTCAGATGCATTTTATCCAGTCGAAGCCATTCTCTTCGATAAATTCATTCAGAAGCTGAAATATGTGCTCTCCTGTAGTTCCTGTTGGTAGTGGTTTACAGAACAGAAAGTCTTCATGGGACATGCCCTCAAACTCGTATCTAACGTAAACGAGCAAAGTGGCCAAATCGACTACAGACTCAGTGTACTTTTGATATAATCCTTCATTTCAATAATTCTATGAATGACTGTGTCTTTCAGGGGGAGGGAGGCAGCAGGTCGAGCTGTTTAGCAGCTTTTTCTCTACACATAATACGTTTTGCCAACGGTAAATAAGGTTCTTCAGAAATAGTGTACTGTAGCTTACCTGCTTTAGCAATCCACAAGCTTACATTTTTCCGCATTTCCTTTTTTATTTCCGTATTTATTTAAAGTTTTTATTTCATGCGCATGGGAGCGAAACACAGAGACGCTCGGTGTATTTTTCTCAATTTAACTTAGAACAGTTCTTAAATTTCTTAAATCTTTTATCTATCACGCTTTCCTGTGCTCACAAGATTACCTGCGTTCGTAGCACGTATTTCTATGCATTCCTGTGTTTACAAAGTTGGCATTGTTCCAAAATCACGCATATTCTCCTTTCTCCCTATTTGCTGGAGATACAGTAGCTTTTTTTAAATACAATTGGTCATTTGCTTTCGTAGCACGCATTCCTATAGAGTGGTATAAAATTACAGAGTATCTCTTGTGTCCACTGAACTATTACTGCGCACTGTATCGTAGTACGTAGGCTGCGTATTCGACACGTATTAAAATACAAAATATGAAAACCCGTCACGATTTTTCAGCGCACACGACACAGTTCCAGGGTCATTTGGCATACCACTTGGTGGCACTTCACGTACCACTGCCGGTACGCGTACCACAGTTTGAGAACCACTGGCCTTGGAGAACAAAAGGTGGGAGAGGCAGAGAGGTCACTCAGGTGGTGCGAAGTGGAGAGAGGTGTGAAGTCGAAACACGCATGTGAATAGAGAAGATTACACGAAAACAAGTCTATCATTGAGAGAAGGGGGAAGGTGAGAACCAAGTTTTAGGATAATTTTTGTTTCTGATGTCTTCCTGCTGTAGGAATTAAGAAATCCTTCTTTGAGAACGCAGGTGGGGAGATCGGTGTGATCATGGCCGTCAAGAGGTGAAATGAGAAAGTATGGACTTGGAGAAACCTTTAATCTTCATAGCCCTAACATGTTCTCTGAAGCAGTCTCCTAGTCTCCTTCCTGTTTCCACAACATAGATAGCTGGGCATTTCCTGCAAGTGATACAGTAAATAATGTTGCTGGAGGTACAAGAGGTTTCCTGGGTGATCCGGAATTGTCCCGAGGGGCATTGAATGAGTGAGGAGAGTTGCAGGGGAAAGTGCCTGGTGTGGATGATTGTTGAGGGCGGTCAAGGGAGCTGTGAACAAGAAGGTTACGCAGATTAGGTGGTTGGTGATATGAGATGATATGGCGGTCAGGAAAGAGGGCCCCAGTGGAGGGATCAGCCTGTAGGATGGAAAGTTGTCGTTAATGGTCCTGGGGATATTAAGTGTGTTAGGGTGGAAAGGAGGCACCAAAGGAATGCAGTTATTAGGCCGGGGGTTGTTTTTGGCTTGGATGAGGGCCCTGTCAATAACATGGATGGAGTATCCTCTGTTGATGAAAAAGGAGTGCATTCTGAGTGCTTGGTTCTGGAAATCCATGTAATCACTGCAGAGTCGTTTCAGCCGAAAGAACTGTGAAAAAGGGAGAGAGTTTTTACAGTGTTTGGAGTGATATGAGCTGTACAGGGGATAGCTCTGTGAATCCGAACAATATATACCTACATAATTTTGTTCATTCACTTTTTTTCAGTGAATTATTTTGTGTTCATTTTTTTTATGTCAAGGGTGTTTTTTGGAGTGATACACAAGTCAATGTGTTCAGCAACATAAAAGTTGTTTCAATATACCTGATATCTTTGTAATTTGTTTAATCATATATTTTTATTTGCTCAATCATATAACCAGCAATTTTTTTATAAGTAGTATATTTTTAAATGTGGACAATTGCTGTCTTGTAAATTGAGAACCCTTTTCTCAAAATTCCACTTTCCCGTGCAGACCATTCATACTGTTTATTTTGTATACTTAAAATCTTGGCAGGTCTTCTGCACATTTTCATTGAAATGCATCCTTGTGCCTGCGCATAAGAATTCACTGTCTGAATTCATTACTTGTTAATCAAGTTCAACATCTTAATTAGTATCCTGCATTGCATTTGATTACACTGTTATTTGCTAATTACTCAGCATGTATTTAAGGCCAACTAATAACCAGTAGTGAGAGCACATAATCTTGTAAAATTATAGCTACAGATGGACATGGAGAAGGAGTAATATAGTGAACTTAGGGTTATGCTTTTTAATGAATTTCTGTTTTTAGTTTGGGGGGAGGCAGTGCTTAATTTCAGTTAGGATATTCTGCTCAATATAAGCCTTAGATAGTTTAAGTTACAGAGCTGCTTCAAAAATGTAGTGCTTTATTTGTGTTCATCTTAAAAGGAAGTAATCTGAGTCAAAACCTATTTATTCAGTATGTGCATTTAACATATTGCTTAGTGGAGTTTGATTCTCATTTTTAAAAAAGGCAGAAATAAATAAACTTAAATCCTTTCTGGTTTTCGTAGCACATTATATATTAACCTTGTGAATATAATTGAAATAGAATGCATTTACTTCTGCAAGGTATTTTATAAATTAATTGAAGAGCTGCAGTTATCCAAGTATTGTTTGGTATTTACTGAGGATGAACAGACATTGCAAATGGCATTTCCCCTTTCTTGGTTGGCTATGTGAATGCTATGTATCTTTTAGACTTATGTTGATCATTAAATAATGTTTTACATTATTTAAAATAAAATGTTTAAAGTGTTTCAGTCCTCATTCAAGTAGAAATCTATTATTTGTTGTTCCTGCTTAGGTCACTGTCCAATTCTAAGTATTCTGCAAAATACAGTTTTAAATTTTAGGTTTTAAAACCTTTAAACACATTTTTTGCATTGCCCAATTATCTTTGGTTAAAACTGTTTTGATTATTACATTATTACCTTTACTGTAGTACCAGAGATATCTGAACAGTGTGGCCTTAAAAGAGCTTACAAATCTTATTTAGATATGGACTTACATACTGTAAAGCTGTGAGGTATTTTTTCATGACCTTCCATTATGGACTCAGCTAGAAAATGAGCAATAATACATGACACATTAATCAGTTTTGTAAGAAGTAGAAACCTCCTTTTGTTATGCGCTTATGGCACTACACAAGCCCTATAAAAGCAGCTGGGATAAAGGGTTTATCATAAGACTTGATGATTAAGCAAGGGACATTGTTACCTGCTGGAACGAGGTAAGTACTGGCTTTATAGCGAGCTAGTGATTTTTAAAAATCGTCCCGGTTTCATTTCCACTGCGACTTATGAATTGGCAGACCGAGTAGAGACTGGGCCAGTCGCTGTGGTAGTAGTACTGTACGAGCTGGCATTCCCCCAGGTATTACTAGATGAGATCTCTGTCAGTCAGCTGTTGTCAGCTGTCCGGGAAAGATGACATTCAAGGTTTAGGTATTTTTTGTTATCCCAGATGATCACAAAGAGATTTACACACAGGTCACCCTGTACCCCCAAGCCATACTCAGCAGGTAACCAGACTGCAGGCCAGGCATGAACTTGAAGCTGAATGTAGTCACGAGCACCATGCACATCCCTGGCTCTGACTGATGCATGTGTGCCATTGAGTGCGTTCAAATTGTACATCCTGGTGAACAGAGAATGTGAGGGCCAGATCACCAGTCTTCCCAGTTTGCACCGTTGAAGTGAGCCCAGGAAGTAGAATGTGCTTTGTTGAAAAACACCCAAAGCGGCTCGGTCCGACTTCTCATATGCTGGGCAAATGGTGTCTGTGATCGTGTGCGGCAGGAGGGATCAACCCAACC